AATTCAAATCATTTACGGCTTAAATAAAGCTATCACAGCCCTACACACCCACCTCACACTATTGACGCTAACATACTAGAAGACCATTCAGTGTACTGCTTAATGGTGTTATGCCGATGAAATAAATTGCTTTCATTTATGTCTAAAGAAATCTAGAGACGGGGTCGGCTTTATGAATTGAATTCTTTTTGTTTGAGTTGGTGGAATGGCGAAGCGTGATATTGCAACTTCTGGGTTGGTCAAATTTTCCGAAAAAATTAATATCTGGAGGCATTAACTTTCGAGGAAAAATATTTATAAAATGTATTGAGTGGAGGAATGTTGGTGCAATAGACCTGTCTTTTAGAAAATTGTCTTATAAGACCAGCATTAATGCTTTACAAAACAATCGTAGAGCTGGGTTTAGTGACGGCTATTAGGGGCAGATAATTTAGTTTGAAACGATTTTAAACTTAGAGGAGGTAACTAAGAGGAGGCTGCTTTCACGGGGGGGGGGGGTGTTTAGTGTGTTAAAGCAAATATTTTCAGTGGCAAAATATTTTCAGTGGCAACATTGGTACTGTCGAATTCACAAATTATGAATTCCTGAAAAGTAGAAAAAACAACAACTAAATAGCGGCGTATGATACACCGCGGGTCGGCTCGTATAAATAATATGATTTCTTTTATTTTTTTAATATAGTAATTTTAAAATTAAATTGTCTATCTAATTAGATTAAAAATTATATATTGTTGTCATTGAAGAACGTATCTGGAAAGTTTAAAGGAAATGGTTGCATTAGACTTGAGAGAAAATTAATTCACAAACTAATAGGCAAACGGAGGTTGAGAACTCAGAAAAGGCATGTAATTTTAAACAATAGCCTGATTTTTTTCCATTGGCCTAATATATAGTGTTATATTGGCTCGACAGTCGTTTGCCATCTATCTGTTAATGCCGTAACTGAACGTCACATTTTCGCCTTCAAAGCCAACTCAACTGTAACGTTCTGTCACATCCGCTACAACGGTATTTACTGGAGCGTAACAATACGTCACATACACAAGCTGTCTTGAACATAACGATCTGGTTCTTAGTTTTTATCTGCCAAGACTCGCCACAGTGGCTTGTGATATTCTCGAACGATCTTTGATGAGCTCCTACTTAAAGCGACCATAAAAACGTGTTTATATACTTCACACCCATGCTCCGTACACCAAATTGTTTTCAATTATTTCAGCAAGTCGTTGACTTAGACCTATTGCTTCATATTTAAAGTGTACATGACTAGTCACTGATCTGTTACGCAGTGGTTCTTCAGGCTTTTTTCTCCCGGGGGGGGGGGGGGGGCACTTGAAATTTTCGAGGGGGTCAGACTAAAATTTCCGGGGAAGGGGGGGGGCGGACACTGTTAAAAGTGTTCGGGGGTGGGGGCTCCGCCTGGAGGAAACTCTTATGTTACGGTATTGTTTCCAATTACAGCTTCACTGCTAATCTAACATGCAATCCCATATCGCAGTGTGTGCTTATGCTTGTAGAGAAAAAAATTTAATGGAGAGGTTCTCAAGCTGTCGTCTTTCCCATCCATATTTTGACTTGTTTCTAACGCGTCTGCTTTTCAAAACCCTAAATGCTCGTGTGTGGAACGGCATGGCCTAGCAGTAGAGAGCTAGTCCATTGACCCGAAAGTCTCGAATTCGAATCCTGGTTCAAGTCAGTAGAATGCACTCTGATGGGTACCTAACTTACGTTAGGGAAAAAAAAGGTGGCTGGGCATAGTTCTGACCACACTATCTCTTCATATGCAGAGATCTCTGAAGCAGATAAACTCTACTTCATCTGCCCCATGTGTCTTGGGCACGGACTGGAAATGATGATGTGCTGCTATTGTAATACACACCGATATTGTAGCATAGACAAAACTTAAAACGACTACCACTGCCTTGGTAAGTTAACTATATAATGGCTAAAAATGTGTAGGAAAAAAAGCAGAGCTGCATTACTGAACTATACATAGCCTAAGTTAAGAAACGGGTAATACTGGGCTTTACAGACTGATTCTACTATTTTCTAAATTGATTGAATATTATCGAAAATTTTAAAAACGTTTAGGATAAATTTAAAGCCAGTATAGGTGTAAAAAGTTAGCAACCATGCATCAAAATCTCACCTAGAGTACTCCGAATGTTAGGACATAAGATGCGGAGGCGTAGCGACGGGGGGTGGGGGTACATTATGTCCCCAGGCGCCAAAATGGGTTGGGAAAAAATTAAAAGCTCATTTTAGCTGCAGTTTTGAATTAGAAATATGAAACATAAATGGGGGGAGGCGACAAACTGAAAGTTCGTTACCAAGCCCCGGGAAGGGTCGCCACGACTCTGATAATATGTATTGACAATACGTATGTTTTAGCCATTCACTATAATGATTTCGGTGTTAAAACACTACGGGATTTGTTTCGAATTGTTAAAAAATTACAGTACGATTAAACTGGCATGCATAATTTATATGTATGTATGAACAAAATAAAGTAAAATGATTGTCCTTTAATAAGTAATAATGCACTGCAATTTATTTTATATATACATTTCCCATATATATATATATATATATATATATATATATATATATATATATATATATATATATATATATATATATATATCGCCTTTACTGAACTATCCGCTCCCCCTAACCAGGAAACCTACCTACATACCTGGACCTTACCCAGACTACTTTATGTAGCCTAAAACTGTTTCTCCCGAGGTCGGCGTATCGCAGGTTGAGAACCTGTCATTTAAGAAAAATATGGTCAACTTTTACCACATGTTTGTGGGCTAGCTTACACCTGTTGTGTTACACTAAAAGGAAACTGTAAACATTATCTTATTTTCTTAACTGATATTCGCCTAATAGCTTTAAAAAAATAAATATTGCCGACTTTTTGTAACATTTTAATAATGTTATATTCAATATAAAGAGTTAAGACAAATGTATTTTATGGTAATAGTAGAAAAAAGACTATTGTGCCATTTGATAACTACTAAAGAATTACGCTATTCCAATCAAATGATAAAACAACTAAATGTGATTCCTTATCTACTTCATGCATTTAATGACAGAAAGCAAAACAAGGTCTTTCACATCTCCCTAACTAGTCCGTAACAAAATTTTAACAGAAATTAGTCAACAAGCTTGCATTGACCTTGAGAAGTCGGAAACAAAACAGATGTTTTCATTTTTTTCTGGTGTAAAATTTCTTGTCAGCATTAGATAAGTCTTAGGTTCACGTTTGGCTCAAGTCTGCTCATTAACGGACCAACACTACAGCTGGCTGTATCGTCACAGTCCACGAAACTAAGATCTGTGGTATCGCCACTGTCATCCAAGCTAGAACTGCGGTATCGCCACAGTCCACCTAATATCTGTTCAGTTCATCCAACGATGTCTTTGTCCACCATTTCAAAGATTCGACTTTTTGCAAGCCCTTGTAAGTAAATTATTTGTATTTGACTTTTTATATAAACTAAGTACTACATCAACGTTGAAGTGCTTTTATTTTTATTTATTTTTTGACCTTTTATACAGCATTAAAACACCAACATAATTTTTTTTAAATGTTATTTTATTTTTATGCAAGAAATTATTTTTGCCTACAGAACATACTTAAGAAGACACAACAATAGAATATCTTATTAGCATTTAGATTTAGACAAATCGTTTGATTAGGGATTTGGAGAATTTTCGTTCACATTTTTTTCACTATCATCAAAGACAACTAGTCAGTAGAATTATTATTTGACGAATAAAAAAACATATTTAATTAATCTGAATAACACATCTGATGACAATATGTCCACACTTTACACCACGCCTACCATTTTCTAAGACTACTTTTTTTATTATTTGTTGTAGAAAAATCGTTTTTGCATTTTAATAATAGCCAAAGTGAGAAAAGACCTCCATGCCAACTATTGTTGCCATTATAAAAAACAACCTTTTATTTTTAATTTTTTTTGAAAATAATAAAGTATGAGTTTACTTTTAAGATTGAATAATTGATATTTATCGCAGTTATCAGATTAATGTCCCTTGCATGACTTCTTTCACATGCCATTCAAATAATAGCTTGCGAAGTAGAACTAGTTTTTTTACTGTTTTATATAATAAGTGAATAAATTGTTACATATGTATTTGTTACTCTATGGTCATAACAATAATAGAAGTAATAAAAATGCAATTTTAAAAACCAAAAAATAATTATTTTTTAACAGTACTTTTAGCGATACAATTTAAAAATCGTGGCCTCTATATTATATTTCAATAATAATCTATTTTTAACATTTTCATCTTTAAATGCATGATTTAAATAAATGAAATAAATAGTTTTCCAAAACAATGTTTACTCTTTGAAAGATATTGCAATCGAAATAAATTCTACGGTGAATCAAAGATAGCTAAACAATTAATAAAATAACATTAAAATTATAAATAAAAGATAATTAAACAATTAATAAAATATTAACACCATTAAACATGTCTAGAACCTACATCAATGCCTATAATACACATACAAAAGTAATTACTGGAAGCATTTTTGCAGTAAACATTTATATTTATTTTTCAGCAAAGTTTAGCATCGCATTATTAACATTTAAATTATTATACTTTTCCACAGAAATGTATGAGATAAAATCTTACTTTAATATTAGCTAAATAACCGATTTAATAGAGAGCAGAAATTATAAAAACATTTAAACATAAATTCATTCAATGTAATATTTTAATTCATTATAATACGAAATAACAGTCGGGCAAATTAAAAATTGATTAATATTGTATAGACTTATAAATATTTCTACACTGTACTGATAGAGATAAAACAATTTTTCTCTGGATTTATAAAGAGTTCGGTCGACCTCTTTAAAGATTTAAAATAAGCGTCCCAATCGAAAGTAATAGTTTATGAAAAGGTGAATATAAAATTAGAAATGTCAGTTTTTGAAATGTGACAAAGATTGCCCAACAAAACCATAAACAGAAACACGCCTTGACCTACAGCTGTGTGTAGCTGGGTCCTGCTACATCCAGTATCTCGTGGCTTGATGTCAACATCCCTTTACTTTCTTCCTTGTAGAGCTTCTGTTCTAAAAGTCTCTGCTCTAGCTCATGTCTTTCTATCTCCATTCTCAGTTTCTCTTTTCTCTCTCTCATTCTCTGTTCATGTTTTTGTTTTTTTAGTTGTATTTCCACATCATGTTTCTCTGATCTTTGCTTTAGTTTTTCTTCTTTCTCTCTCATCTGTAACTTGCATATTTCTAGTCTACATTTTCGTTCTTCAACTTCAAGTTCATAAATCTCACCAAACCGTCGTCTTTTATTCAAGTTTCTACATCCGTGTCTAACCTGTGTAGATGGATGAGATTTTCTTTTCCCTTCTGTGTCAGCGAAATCCTCTATCTGAGGCCTGTTAGTGTTAGAGAAATTAAAATGTTTATTTTAATTTTATTTCTGATGTGGAACATTTTTTGTAAAAATGACCAGCGATAATATACAATGGAAAATACATACTATCGCCATAAAATGTTTAAATGCGTTACTGTACAAAAATGTTAGCTCAATTTATGAGTTGATGACCCCTAAGAAATCCTGTCATGTCACCCTTACAGTCACGTATCGGTGAGTAATGTAAATTATCAACTCTCTGAAAAATCTCAACATTATCCGAGATACAAATTAAAATAAAATTACTGAGGCTCCATCTCAATGTTCTGGTTTTGAATTCTGTCTGTGGCTTCTTCGTGAGCTTGGACATCTGTACCTATGTATGTAAACAAATGTATGTAATTAACAAAAGTAAAGACATTCTCATTGGGTTTGTTTAAAGGCAAATCAACAATTGGTTTGCAAATTCTTTTTATTTGCTAGGGTATAGTGCAGGGGTCTCCAAACTTTTCAGTCCGAGGGCCGCATTAACTATCAAATTTCAGTTCGGGGGCCAGTTTCTTCCAGGCATGTCTTTGATTTTTTTGGGCAAAGTTCCTGAACCATCACTAGTAAACGTTTTTTCCGAGGACAAAAAGATCTCCGCGGGCCGGATGAGAGGACATCGCGGGCCGCATCCGGCCCGCGGGCCGTAGTTTGGAGACCCCTGGTATAGTGTAAACATTAGAATACGCTTATAAAGTATTTTAAATATATAACTAACTAACTGAACCGACAGTTCATTATCATAACAAAATGATATTTAATCTTCTTTTTTTCATGTTAACTATTAATGTGTTAAACTAAATCGTTATTGTCAGCCTTGAATAATTACAACTTTAAAAACTGATTTCACGCGTCTGTTTTTTTTTTTTTTCAAAGATTGCATTATCCGCATACTGTTACAGCTAGTATAGTAAATTGAAATTAAAAATAAGGTAATTAACTCATGTAGTGTATTTGGACAAAATTTGTCAATCGCGCAGGACCAATAGTGTATCCACTTTACAATTCGAGTTAACTTATCAAGTTAACAGAGACCTAGTAGTTCTATTAAAATATCTCCACTATTTCAGACAGTTGTAATTTATCTGTTATCCAACAACAACAAATCAATTCAACAGTATAACAGCTAAGCAGATAGCGTTATTAACTCAAACAATTCTTAATACATTTTGTGAGTTCTAAATATAATAATATACTTACCGTAAAACAATTCCTGAGTAAGCTCTTGATTCTCGTTGAAATTTGCTGTAACTGAAGTACATGCAAAGACGATAATTAGAAACCGGAATAAAATTTAACGTATATACATAAAGTGAAACAAGTGCGTTGGGCTAACCAGGTTATGGAAAAGCGGATGTCGGTTAGGGCATAGGTGATATATGCTTGGCCATAGATGATGTTGACTAAGACATAGTGGAATGTAAGCTATGGCATATGGTTTTTAATAAAGTATGCAGTTTAGTGTATGATATTTTATATTCTGTATAAATTTGTAACATTTTAGTAATCAAGTTGTCTTGTTATCCTGAAAAATTTGTAATATCTATATAGTTTATTCTTATAAATGTATTTAAAGAAATTATTTTTGAGCTCCATATGTTGAGCTCTAAAAATTTATCATTTGAAAATATCATTTCATTGAACAATTTCGGATATTATTTTACCTTCAACTTGCAAGTTTGAAGATGTTACATCATCATCTATGTTATGTTCATTGTAACTTTCCGTCGATTCCTGGTGACCTATTGAGAATAGCGAAAACTAAAAACAATTTTCTTTAATTGCATGTTTCAACGAGCATTTTGGTCCAAAAAATGCTCTAAACAGTGTTTACTATAGTTAAATAAACATACTATATTCTATGGCATCTCTTTCTTATTCAGCTACATTTGCAGCTACATTGACATCTAAATACACATATAGAAAACTAGTATTTTATTCCGCTATCAAGGTTAAGTTCTTTAATAAAGCAACAAAATAATTAAAGCGATAAAAGCCAAATATACATCAACATATTACCGATTGTTACATAAGCTAAATTAAATGTTTACAGCTTTAACTCAACAAATGTTACCTTCATTATTGAGGTTAGAAGACGGCTGAAAACTGCCGCTATTTGTTCCATCAACCACGTCTGTGACTTGGTCTGGCTCTGTTGTATCCCCAGTGTTTAATTCAGACTCAAAAAGATCCTTAAAGTCTACAAAATCTTCAGGACAAATATCAAATATTCTTCTAGTAAAACCAGAAAGTCTAATGCCATGAGGGTTTCTCTTTGCCCTTTTCATGTCTTGTTTAGCCAATGATTTCATCCTCTGATATTGTTCTTTCACTTTCTGTAGGTCACGTGACGGGTATTTTGCTCTATGTTCTTGTGTGACGTCATCCCAGGCTTGTTTTACTTTTTTCTTACATTCGCTGGTTCGTCCTTTACATTCTATCTCTCTCTTGTATCTCTCTATCAGTGAGAGAAGTTCGTTTTTTTCTTCGTCTTTCCAGTTCTCTGTTCGTGTTTTTTTACGTTCAACTGGTGGGTCTAGTTCAGCTGTAGGAGACATTAAACAGGCAAATAATAATCAAATAAAATTCATGTATACACTTTTTAGATTTAATAAATCGTTTTTAAAGTATTATGGAATGTTTCAGACTAAATATCAAGACGTAAAATGACGTCAAAAGACGCATTTAAAAATGCAATATGTTTAAAGTAAAGTATTACAGTTTAAAAATAGGATTAAAATTTTAGAGAGGTAAGTCTCGAAACTTGACAACGCGTCAACATTTATATGATGATACATAAAGTAAACACAATAAAATATAACTGATAGTTATAGATATATTTTGTGGCCGCAGGGGTGGATTTATGTTGTTCTTAACCAAGCTTCTTCGATACAGCGGGTCCTGTATTATTCTAGGCATGCTTTTTTATTTAAATGTATGTTCTTTTTATTTGTTAATGTGTTTTTTCGTTCTTGTTTCATTAAAGGAATCTATCTTTTTGTATCTTTCCTATTATATGTATGTCCGTGTTAATACTTGTATGTCAAAGGCATATACATTTAATTTGGCAAGTAGGCCTACTAGGGAAGATCAGACTCAATCAGCATCAATATCTTGACCAGTATTGTTTTATCCTGCAGTTATTAAATGTGTTTAAAAAGATGGCGAAGTCAATAATGATATTCGAAATGTCGATTGCTTAATGTAACACTCGCTCCTCTCTAAAATCTTGCCAAGAATAATAAGGCCAACAATGTATAATGAAACTAAACGACCCTGCCTCACTCCCGATTGAGTTATTTCTCTCTTGTTTTTTGTTTTTGTTTTTGGTTGACTGTCCTTTATATTGAGACATGTAATTGTTTTCCAAACATTCTGTCACCAACTAGTCTAAACTGTCAAACACGTATTTCACATACTAATAAACCGGGAGTGATCTCCCCTAAACTTTCTCGAATATTCTTATATAACTTGGAATATAGACATGATTTTTAATTACTTAAACTTTTAAAAATAGAGTAGAATCTCATAGAAAAAAGAATTGCACACCAAGCGAACGCCAAAACAAAATGTGCATAATAGTGCGCAATATTATTAGTACTTTATAAATTTACATGCGATTTTGAGAAATCGGAAATAGCGTAAATGAGTACTTCCGGTAAACGGAAATTACTCAAAATTTGAGAGAAGTTAGAGAATTAGATCTTTTACTAACGTATGAAATTTCATTTATCTATCTGAAATAGTACTCAAGCTATAGGCGTTTGAAAAATTCAAAGTAGAAAAAGTACCACTTCCGGTTATCGGAAATCGCTCAAAAGTTGATACGGATCTTCGATTTTGATAAATTACTTATATATGAAATTTCATCAACCAAGCTGTAACGGTACTCAAGTTATCGTGTTTACACACAGACAGACAGACACACAGACAGACACAAAAACATACGGACAAGATTGCAAAATTATGTTTTTCCGTATCAGTGAGGTGTAACACGTCGAGATTTGTAAAATTCTCGATTTTTTTTTTGCACGATTACAAGACTTTCTCTATACTTCGTATATACGAGAAAGTAAAAATGTCAGCTCTTGTATTAAACAATAAAATCAAATCTATGAAACTGTATCAATATTTAACGTATTATTAACACAATACTCCACCATGTGTAAATGGGACTAAGCCAACAGAGTTTCTTCCAGGCATCCCCCGAAGAAAGTCTACCGACCCCCCCCCCCGAACGAGATGGAATTTATAAAGTAAACATATACTTTTACTAATGTCTGCCCCCCCCCCCACCCAGGGGAAAATGTAGACACCCGCCCCCCCCCCCCTTAAAATATGAAGTGCACCTCCGCAGAAAAAAAAGTCTGGAAAAAACTTTGTAATCCAAGTAAGTCAAGATTAGAGTTAAGACTACAATTCTCTCTAAAATTAGTACGTTTATCAAACGTTTTACCTCACACTTATACAGTCGGCTGTTCATCAAACATGGTGTATAATTAACTTAACTCCACCTCCATAGACTGAATAGCACTAAAAACTGATAATACGTTAGGACTTAATCTATTGTATCATGTTGACATGACATATGTACTTCTATATTTATCTCACACAAATGAAAATTTTACCTTGTGAACTGCTGGCGATGAGATCCAAAAGCTGTGTTGCGTTATTTGCTTGTGTTGTACATTGTGAATCTTTTAAAAACCCCACACACGCTTGTAGTGAACAGAGAAGGGAATATCCGTCCTGAAATATCTGTTTTAAATATTGATTTTTTAGAAAATCCTCAAAATAAATTTAGATCTAATTAATGAAATATCTTAAACTATAATTGTTTGCTAGATTTATAATAAGTTGAAAGAATGAAAAATAAAAAAAATGTTTCCTTTAAAAATGTGTTTTAATGAAAGCCGTTTTTTGTCGTGTATTTCCTAATTAAATTATAACCGGTTTACAGATTCGTTTCACTAACTGAAATCTGACATTTTTAATGCCTTATGTTAAGTTTATTTATTTTCTAACCTGTATATAGTTTCTGAAATTAGATGTATAAGTAGCCAATATTTGCAGACATAGCTCTATCTCTTGTTGTCTTGTCCAGCATGATTGTAACAAAATAGATTGTAGATGGAACAAACAATGTTCAGGGAATTCTGTACCAAACCGTTCTTGTTGACTTAGTCTTTGTAGGTGGCACAAAATATTGCAGATACTGTCAATAGAAATGTTTAGATATAAATTTTAAAATTCAGATAAAGGGGTAGAGTTTTTGTGTTTTTGACAAGTTATGTTAGAATATTAAAATATGAGCACGACTGGCGTTAAATTAATGGAGCAATACCTTACAATTTTATTTGAAGACAAATGTAAAGTATGCTTCAAAATAAACGCTTTATTTTACCAATTAAATTAAGTAAAAACACTTCGTAACTAGGCACCGATAAAGTAAAAAACGGTATGCATCTGGTAAGTCTTTAGAATCTGTCTTTCACCCATGACCATTCCGTCTGACAAAGTACTCACGGATTCACACCATATAAAAATATGTTCGCAGATATTGCATCGAGTAAATAATAAGCATAGGCATACGCATTTGTGTTTGGTTATGTTTATTTTATGAGTACATCCAATGGTAAAGTGGACTCAAGTCCGTCCCAATAAGGTTATAAAAGTAGTGCTTTGTTTTTAAAGCTCATGTTAATGTATTGTTTTAATTTACCCGATTATTCCTTTGTTTTCCCCACAGTAGACTTGAAACGTAACTTGACTAAGATGTAATGACGTCACTAATCTTTGTTTCAGCTCTTGTATCGTGTCCTGGTACACCAACAAATGCTGACCGTGGTGGACGTCGGTTATCATTGATATGATCACAAACATCACTAGGCCTAGATCTAAGATATATGACAAGATTGAGAATCAAAATATTTAAGATTTAAATATAAATAAAGTTTAACTCATTCTACTTTAGTACATAAAGACAACAGCTAAGAAACGACTTATTTTAATAAAATACCGTCGTTTGTTCTGGATAAATCAGAGCTCCATTTCTGTAACAAAGTTTTTAATTCTTCTTCACTTAAACATTGTTGGTCGACTTTTGAGTCAAACATTTTCACCAGAAAAACAAGAAATGTGAAGATCTGAAATATGTTTACAACACATATTTAACACACAACTATCAACAGTCAATAGTAAAATAGTATATAGAATCAAGTGAATGTTTTACTTACATGTTTTACAGTAAGACACGTGAGCTTAGAAGTCCTTAACGTCAAGTCCTTCAGGACATTATTTCTTTTGATTTCCCCCTTTATGTCTGCTTGTTCAAACAATTTCATTACTTTGTCAATTGTCTCATCAACATCTACAAGTTCTGGCACTTTATTTATGTTCTCAACAAGAGTTAATGCAACATTCGCCATTTCAGGCCATCTGTTGAACTCTGTTAAAAGTATTGCACTCGCTTCACTGTTGTGTAAAATTTGATCAATTCTCTGTCCAGTATCCGCCTCTATTACTGAACAACTTGATAAACTGGTAACGTCTAAAATAGCCACAGCTGATTTGATTATATTATTTTTGTACCAATTAACAAATAAATATCTAACTGTAGAAAAGGACACGCGTATTTCTTCTAGCCTTTGCTTCAATCGTTCTTCTCTCTCTGTTTTAACCCCATCATCTTCACTGTCTTCTTCCTCGTCTTCGTCGTCTATCTTTTCTTCTTTCTCATCGAAAATAGAATAAGAGAACAATAATAAAAATACATACATTTTAAAGAATGCAAATTATTGCTCTGATGTTAAGAATTCTGTTTTAATTATCTTCAAAATTTAAATTTTTGAAAACATTAATCACTATCCAGTACGTTTTTAAGCTAAACGTTATTAGTAAATGTGTCTCTTGTTCAATGAAACTATATGTTTATATAATGAGTTTCTTTTTAGTCCGCATTCTTTTATTTTAAAGGTATTTGACCTGCATCTCTCAAATACTGTTGGCCACAAGTACAATAAAATACATAGAAGACTGTCTTGTTGAGTAGGACGATAATTTAAGTTCTATTACAGGAAATTCTAAAATTTGAATGCAAACACTTTTACATAATTTTAAAATATCTTAAATGACCAGTTTAGGAAACTAAAATCCTTGCAATAAAGATATGATTGGTTCGAATAGGAATATGAATGGTTCGAATAGGATCTGTTGGTCTGTATATTATATTTGTATAACTTGAAGAGCAACTAGTTGTTTCTGCTTTGTTTTATTCTCATGTTTTATCAGAGACCTACAGTTAAATATCTAGAGGTGTCTCGCGACACTAATCACCTAACAAATACGAGAAAGAAGAACTTTTTGTTTACCGATACCTCTGATGACTTGAATGGTATCTGCTAATTTATTCGCCGCTTCTCTTCCATCTTTGTCATTGTGTGCTGTTACGTTCTTTAGTGTCGTTAACAACAGCCTTTGTTTCTGTAGATAATAGATGGATGATTTGTAAGTAATTTGTTGTATATAAAGTAGGAACAACACGTTTTAGAATGAGATGATTACCTTCATTGTGTGTCCAAGGTTTGACGTCATCACCAGCTTATCTAGTTGGTTTAATATAACTGGTACGTGTTGTATACACTGCCAATGTTCCTGGATGTACGTTAGTAAGAAATCAAGGCTGTCATAGTCTCGTAACCAACCTGACTTGTGTGCAACTCGTAGAAAGTCTAAGTGACTGTTCATAAATAAAGTTCACAACATTACTGTCATTCATTTGAGATGAAAAATTTAATTGAGTTATTAAAAAATACAAAGTTTAAGGACTAAAATGTTAGCATATATTGCAAAAGATTTTCTACGACCTAAAACTTAATTTGAGTTCATTTCATGCATCTTTACGGACAAAATGAAACAAATAAATAATAATTTATACAAGAAAATTTATTCTTCAACCAGACATAGTCTCCCTCCCCGACCCCAGCCGGAAAGTTTAAGTGCCCCCCCCCCCTTACCGGAGATAAAGGGCTGAGAAAAACCCTGAACAAATTGAGACAATTTTATCTAAAATAATAAAAAAAACTAAAGCTTATGTATCGTGTACAATATTTATTTAATTAGTATTAAAACTAACTTTGAAAACCGTTTACATATTTATTACAATAACATTATGGGTTACATGGTTAAATCCTGGTAAAAAAACTACACATTTGGGAATGTGTAATCCTCTTCTATCTTTTACCTATAATGTATTACATGTTTCAATAACTATTTAAACATTTACAGATCCTAACACTACTTTGTATAGGGTATTTCTAAAATTAATTAGATAAAGGATAAAAAATATATTTCTGATTTTACATAATTTTACTAATTAAATCACTTTCAAATAATCACAGAGTCACTCTAACATACCTGGATTTGTTGCGAAAACGTGACCCTGAGATAAAAGGTAAGTACTTTTTGTGTCTGTTACGGTGTAGCCAAACAGAAAACTCACTTAAGCAATACCAAGGTAAAACCGTGTATTCCTCAGATTGTGACATGTGGACAACACAAAGTCTTATGACAACACGTGCATCTGTTGACCTAACTGAAAAAAAAAAATTATTGTTGTCTTAAGAGTTGATTTTATTTTGTTTAGCAGTTTCTTGCTAATAAATGATTAATATAAACCACCATTACAATAGGTGAACGCGTATCTGCTGAATTTCTCCAACAACAGAACCCTTTTAAAAAAGTGTTTTCTCTGTATAAGATAGTTCATATCATTTGCAGTAGCCTCTATTCCTAATTGCAACTGTCAATTGTTACATTCGGATTATTGCTAAAATTATCTTCATTAAGTTTCTTGTTAATAAAAGATTAATATAAGACACCTCCATTCAATGACTCCAACAACAGGTCTTTAATGTCTCCTCTGTGTAAAACTTTTGTGTGGAAAGCCAAATAATACAAGATGTACAGGGATGATGTAAAGTTGAAAGATTCAGTCTGAAAAGATCAAAATGAAAGCGATGTCATAATTCTTACAACGTTTTACATTGATTTGGGCTACAGTATCGCATGTTTTGCTTTCCTGTTATAAGTATTTATTAAAATAGTCCAAACGGCTCCGTTGTCTTTATTGAAATTATTTCAACCTTCGGGTCACCGTAAGTTTGAGAATTTATTAGCTTATAAAATGCCATTGTCGATTACTGCATAAAACATTATTGGCTACTCAATTCGCAATAACTATATATATAATTCTCTTCACGGAGAAGATAGAAAACACCATGCAGCATAGCCACCACCCCCACTCCCACATGGTCTTTTGAGCTGTGGTTCACCCCGTATGTTTACAATCGTAGTGCCGGGTTAGAGACGGTTATTAGGGGCAGATAGTTTAGTATTAAACGAATTGAAACGAAGGGGAGGTAATCTGATTGATCTTTTCTTAGTCTGTAAACGGCTGCTTTCACAAGGCGGTAGTGGGGGGGGGGCTGGGCGGGAGGGTGTAGTGTTGAATCGAAACGAAGGGGAATAACAATTTCTGATTGATCTTTTCATAGTCTGTAAACGGCTGCTTTCACTGGGCGGGAGGGGGGGCGGGAGGGTGAAGTGTTGAATTCACAAATTATGAATTGCTGATAAGATGAAAATAGAACAACTAGATGGCGGTGTATACTTCGTAGCGGGTCAGCTTGTACAATATAATATATTTTAGGTGGGTGGGCGGGTGGGTTAACCACATTGACCCATTCAACAGACGACCATACGACGATATTAGCGTACTCAGCCGGACGATTGTATCCATATGGTGTATTACAGTTCACAGATTTTAAATATATTTATTTACCTGAGCGATGCTATTTTTGTCAACAACTTTCAAGTTGAAATGTATCTCATCTAAAACGCCACAAGCAATCAGCTGATCACAACAAAGTTTGCCGTATGATGAGGTCACAATCCAAACTTGTCTGATGTCAAACAAAATTTCCTTTGAGTTTTTGTCCACGTTTTCTTGTTGGTCGATTGAATCGTCGTAGTGTTCTCGTCCAAGTAACTTTAGTATTAGAGAATATTTTCTCCACGTTTCTTCAAAAAACTTGACATCTGTCAGAAATTCTCCAAACATCTCCGTGTACACATCAAGTAAATCGTATCTCAGGTATGAATGCAGCTCTTTGATGCACTTTAAAACTTCAGTTGCAGGGAAAGTTTTAAAACTTAAAATACATTTCACAACCAGTTCATAGCCAACACAAACGTGAGGATACAACTTTACATTTTCTAACCAGTTTACAACTTGTGGTTCATCTAACTGAAGTTCTGATAGTAAAGTTTTTAAAGGATTTAATTCGATTCGTTTGTTTGTTTGAAAGAAATCTGTGAAGTGAAAAACAAATGTAACTTAATGTACGATATTAAAATTATAGTCTACATATTACTGGAAAATCATAATTAAGCTAACTGGCTGCGTCAGTTGTACCAATGACAAATTTCGGAAATACTTGACAAATTTGAAATGGAAATGTTTACAGTTACTCGGAATTATCTCAATCTGTATATATATATATATATATATATATATATATATATATATATATATATATATATATATATATATATATATATATATATATATATATATATATATATATATATATATATATATAATATGTACATTAGGGTGCTTTATTCCACACATGCTTTCGGGAAACTAGAAATGTATTAGATATAATACGAGTGCAGTGAAATGGACAGATAAATAGATGGACGGTTCACAGGAACTGACAAAACATTAGTAGTTTTATGCTGACCAGTGGCCATGGTTGTTAGCGCTAGGGTGCTGGGGAATTATTTGTCAGCTCACAAGTTTTGGCCTCTTTATCCAGTGGGAATATTTAAGGGGATAGGACGTAGGTATAAATACGGACAGGTTAGATACCCTCTCTCTTTTTTGACTTACAAGCGTTTAGGGGAAGCCTCGCTCGGTAGAACAGGAGTTTATTCAACTAAAGAACGACAGAAACTAAGAAAGTCTCCGGTCCAGTTCTGGACAACAACGGCCTTATTGGCTAGTGCCCGAGTCAGCAACATATTCAGTCGGCGACTAGGCATCCGGACAGAAGCATAGCAGTTCGGCCAAAAAAAAATGTTTTTTCTACTATATTAAGTTTTCGTCGTATCGATTATATTATTGTAATGCAATACATTTTGTTTTAATTGCCTAAATTGATGTAAAATGTAGTAGCCTATATATGTAATGTTAAATGCATTAAACTCTCGTAAATATAAAGCTGAACAACTTTTACCCTAAGATCTTAATTTGGTATCGCAGATTCAAGTCTACAAACGTTTTAAAGTCCGCCCAGCTCTGGTGGTAACCTGAATTACATTAGCCAAAGTTAAGGCGACTGGGCTTAGAGCCTTCATATGTCGAGATCCGGAAACAGACTAACTTTATTGTGTTGGCCGTAAGACATAAAACGGGAACTTCATTTTTATATATACATCGATAAAACATTTTTTAACACGCAGTTAGCTATCTACTTTAAAAATTATTCTTTATTAATTAATTAAGTCTTTTCATTTTTTACTTTCTCGTATATACGAAGTATAGAGAAAGTATTGTAATCGTGCAAAAAAAAAAATCGAGATTTTTACAGATCTCGACGTTTTACACCTCACTGATACGGAAAAACATAATTTTGCAATCTTGTCCGTATGTCTGTGTGTGTGTGTGTGTGTGTCTGTGTGTCCGTGTGTAAACACGATAACTTGAGTACCGTTACAGCTAGGTTGATGAAATTTCATATATAAGTATTATATCAAAATCGTAGATCCGTATCAACTTTTGAGCGATTTCCGATAACCGGAAGTGATACTTTTCCTACTTTGAATTTTTCAAAAGCCTATAACTTGAGTACTATTTCAGATAGATAAATGAAATTTCACATGTAAGTAAAAGATCTAATTCTCTACCTTCTGTTAAATTTTGAGTAATTTCCGTTGATTGGAAGTAGTAATTTACGCTACTTCCGATTTCTCAAAAAACTAATGTAAATTTTAAAAGTACTAATAATATTGCGCACTATTATGCGCTTTTTTATTGGTCGTTCACTTGGTGTGCAATTAATTTGTCTACGAGATTTTATTCTATTTTTAAAACTTTAAGTATTTAAAAAATTCATAAAAAACGTTTTAATAACAAGCTTTTATGTAATGATGCACTAAAAAGTAGAAAATAAATTATAGACTACTATTTAAATAACTATAAAGAAAAGCGTGGGTCACTTTAGTATCTATTGGATACCTTTACTAATGTTAAGGAAGACACCCACGCTTTTCTTTATAGTTATTTAAATAGTAGTCTATAATTTATTTTCTACTTTTTAGTGCATCATTACATAAAAGCTTGTTATTAAAACGTTTTTTATGAATTTTTTTTCAGTACTTTACATGTTTTATCTACAATAGAGTTACATGACTAAAAACCATTGCGCGCCTACTGAATATCACGTTCAGTAGGCGCGCAATGGTTTTTGAACGCAGCCATTACGTGGTCGTGATGGCGCAGCTATTGATGACGCGTGTGGTGTGGTTGGCTAGACATGCCTACTAATTCGGTCCAAATTTTAATTAATTCATAAAAAATCAATTAGGCATCCAATTAAGTCAAATTTAGTTTCAGATTGCATTGTCTTCATGTCTTGACCCACGTGCCAAATGTGAATCGTATCGGTCAAGTAGAACTATCCGAATTTTCACTCCTGCGTTTCCGTCTAGACTGACGACTGACGACAGACAGACTGACGAGGAAGTGAGTTAAATAAAAGCTTGTAAAAATGGATTAAAAATCATGTCTATAGCCCGAGTTCCCATCCCCTGTTATTTTATATAAGAATATTCGAGAAAGTTTAGGGGAGATCACTCCCGGTTTATTCAGTGATAAAAAAGCAAATCAAATTTTCAAAACAACACTAGCCGTTGTTTAGTTAACACAGAAATCTCGCTAGATGTTGTTACACTACACACCTGGAACTAACTCCTGGCTGTATTCAGCAACCCGTTCTCCTAAGGCCACAATACCATCTACACTTTGTGTTCTAGAGTCAGCAACTAACTTGTGTTTTATCCGCCACAATCCTCGCTATAAAATAGAGAAGAATAAAGTGAGATAAAACTAATAAAACACTAGAATTTTATATAGAAGTAATTGTTTTTACTTTAATATTAATCTCATAATTTCATTCACTATGTGCATATGTTAACATTCCTGGAAAACTGTTTAAACTCTCTCACCTCTATCTGTAAGCAAGACAAGGTACAGTCAGCAAACAGAGTCAATAGTTTTATACACCCATCGCTGTGTGACTGCCAGTTGCTAAGTATCATGTCTAACCGATTCTCATCATCATAACAACATCCCATGACAGCGTGTCTGATCTCTTTATTTCTAAACAAGCTGTGCAGCGTTGATAACCTGTCATCCACGGTCTCATACAATGCAGAGTCAGAGGTCACAATAAATCTGCCAAAATATTATGTAATCACTTCTAGATTGAATAACGATACATAGAATAATATTTAAGCTCACAAAATGTTAAAAAAGCACAATTAGATTATTTCAAAAAATTTACATGATTTTCAACATCACAGATAGTCGTAATGGGCTATAACTACTAGATCTCGAAAAGGATGTAATCATTCCAATCGATCTTTAAAAAAGATTCTGTACAAATAAATAGCAACATTATTTTACCTGTCAAACCTGTACTTAAATACTTTTTCTACGTCATAATATACATTTCTCAACATGTCATCATCAACTATGATGTCATCTATTTGATCATCGTTTGAGAACAAAGCAAGGACATAAAGCGCAACTGTATTTCCTGAAACAAAAGGAAACGCACAATTCTTATTTAAACGGTAAACAAATTAAATGTTGCAATAAACAAACCTTGTCATCAACACAGTTATATTCAAATATAAAATACAACTTGTTCCCACCGTTGGTTTAAGACAATAAGTGTCGTTACTTTAGAAAAAAAACGTTGACCTAGACTAGAGGTTTTGATTATTTTCATTATACTGTGGGAATGGACAATAAAGAGCTTTGATTTGGTTGGCTTAATCTGAGCACGAAGTGTGGTAAATTCATACGATCTTTGGTAATCAGTTTTCTGAGTACCCGTTGCAATTGTAACTTTAGCTTTCGTGTTCTGTGCTCGATAGAAGTGGGTTCTTTTTTTTACTTTCTCGTATACGAAGTGCAGAGGAGTTACTGTAATAGTGCAAAGAAAAATCAAGATTTTCACAAATCTAGACGTATTACACCTCCTTGAGTTGGAAAAACAACGTTTTGCAATTTTGTTCGTATATCTTTGTGTATGAGTGTGTGTATGAGTGTGTATGTCAGTTAACTCGATAACTTAAGTCACGTTACAGCTAGACTAATGAAATGATATATATATATATAAATATAATATCAAATATGTAGTTCTGTATCAACTGTTTAGCGATTTCCGGTAACCGCAAGTGGAACTTATTCTACTTTTTATTTTTTTTCAAAAGCATTTAAATTTAGTGCAGTTTTTAGATAGATAAACGAAATTTTACATATAAGTAAAAGATCTAATGTTCTGATTCTGTCAAATTTTCAGTAAACTCCTTTGATCGGAAGTAGAAATTTACGCTATTTCCGATTTTTCAAAAAAAAAAAAATCATGAATCTATAAAGTGCTAATAATATTCCGAACTATCTAACACATATTTTTCGCCGTTTACTTGGTGTGCAATTCTTTTTTTTCTACGAAATTATATTCTATTTTTAAAAGTTTAAGTAATTTAAAATGGATTAAATATCATTTCTATATCCCGCATTGCCATCCCCCGTTTATAAGAATATTCGCGAAAGTTTAGGGGAGATCACTCCCGGTTTATTTAAAGGAAAATCAGTTCACTCATTCATCATTTTCTTCGCCAACAATCGTATGTAGGCCTACGTGTATTCCTCTGCTAATTCTAAACAAATATTTAAGTTCCAAATTTTACACAAGATTGTCGTTGATTTCAGGATTGAAACGGTCAACGTAGATTAATTAAAGTATCATACAACTGTTAAATCTTGCTAAACTTAACAGTTACACATTGCATACAAAATAAACCGGGAGTGATCTCCCCTAAACTTTCTCGAATATTTTTATATAACTTGAAATATAGACATGATTTTTAATTACTTAAACTTTTAAGAATTGCACACCAAGCGAATGTAAATTTATAAAGTACTAATAATATTGCGCACTATTATGCACATTTTGTTTTGGCATTCGCTTGGTGCGCAATTTTTTTTCTATGAGATTTTATTTTATTTTTAAAAGTATAAATAATTAAAAATCATGTCTATATTCCACGTTATATAAGAATATTCGAGAAAGTTTTGGGGAAAGCACTCCCGGTTTATTTAAATCTGCCAGGCATTTGCTAACCTCCATGACTTTCTCCCCATCTAATTGACTCAATTCTTAGTCAAGTTTCACCGCTTTTAGCAATGTGGATGGTTGAGCGTAGTATAATAAATTTTAATCCAAAAATAATTTTATTTACCAAAAAAATTTTTTTTTAATTTTATAGTTATAGATTTACTTTTTACAAAAATAGATCTTGAGTCCTCGATGAAGACACACAGTTTCTGTTGTGTTTGAATATCCGACACTTTAATTATTTTGTAGATAATCCAAGTAGCGTACTGTAAAAGGGTTGAAAAAAGTGAAAGATATTTTTAAATGTTTGTTTTACTTATTTACTGGCATATATTTTGCGTGACAGTAAAAAAAAAAAGTAAAAATGTTTTGCAACGTTAATGTCATTCACTTGCTATTGCAATGCATTGTTTCTTCCAGACTTTTTTCTCCGGTGAGGGGGGGGGGGGCACTTGACATTTTCGGGGAGGGGGGGGGGGGGGGGCGGTAGACTTTTTTCGTGGGGGCGGACACTGCTAAAAGTACATAATTTTATATAAATTATATAAATTGCCCCCCCCCCCCCCCCCCCGAAGAGATGCCTGGAAGAAACTCTGTTGCAATGGAGGAGACTTGGGAAATATTTGGCAACAATGTGAATTGAGAAGTCATGCTGTAAACTCCAATTACCGAAATAGTATTCTTGTATCATACGGTGTTGTAACTAATAGTGACAACCCATACTCCACCGTAGCTTTGGCATATTAGACCTCCCTTCCATGCAATTATATTATTTTGACAAAATGAAATACTTTCTGACATTTTTCAAATTGTTGTCTACCCCTATAAATAGGAACCGCTACTCACGCCACGCCTCCCCCCCCCCCCCCTCCATTATCATTTTATGCTACTGGACAACAACAAAGTACAGAGCTGATATTTGTATAATTACCTCAAAACATTCATCGTCATCAATATCCCAATCATTTATATACTCGATCAATGATAAAATAACGTCATCATATACAGCCAGCTGTAGTGTACACTGTACATTGAAGGAGCACAACCAACACCACAGCTTGTGCAGAGTTTCAACATCAACTTTTACTTGGCCCACATCAGCACTGCGATATTCAGCTACAGATTCTGGGATTATGTTCAGGTGAAACAAAAATTGACTTAACACTTGGAATTTTAAAACCTCATCTTCTTCTATTCTAGAATCGTCTTTAAGCCTGTACATTTCCATACAACACTTTAAATACTCTTGTCTAGTTCCTTGTGTCCGTGTATCCACAAGTCGTTTAAAATCTCCAATCAAATGTTTGTTTTCTCTCACGATATGAGACGCTGCACTAAACGAGTCTTCTGTTAACTGTAAACATTTGATGTCGTCCAGTAGAACTTCACTTTCGTCACGAATTTCAAATCTTCCATCACGTGTTGGGTCACCGGGTAGGTCACGTGATAGGTTACGCGATACGTCATGTGGTAGGTCACGTTGTAGGTCACCTGGTAGGTCACGTGATAGGAACCTGTCACCTGTGGGTATACCAGACATTAATATTTGTTTACCTCGCTATTGTTTCTTTCAAATACTAGATAGTTCAACACATTAAAACAACAATCAAAAGTATATTAGTATGGATTCTATCTCTATACTTGTTAAAAAACCATATTAATCCAATGGACTTGCAGGTAGTTACTCCAGAGTTCCATAATCTTATCTACCCAAATCTACCCAAATCTACCCAAATCTACCCAAATCTACCCAAATCTACCCAAATCTAAAACCCAACGAACCCACGCCACAAAAATGAATAAAATAAACCCTCTTTGTTTGACCTGTTTCCATAGTAAGAATAGATATATATTAAATATGGAGACAAATAGTTTATTTTCAACATTCATCAAAATATTATTAGCTTCAAATATTTTGTAGAAACAAATCCAATACCTGAATGTTGACTCCATGGAGTTATGCCAGCTCTATGAATCGGTTGAAATGGAGAATGTAGGCTGAACATCGGGATGTTGCTACTAGTTCTATCTGTATTGTCTATGCCAATGATTAACAATGTATTTATGTTAATAAATGGGTCTATTTCTGCCAGAGACTTCATTTATTAAATATTTATTTTATTTTCATATTTTTATAAAATTAAATATATATTTTTATTTGCATCGACCAATAAATCTTTGTTGCTCATTGTAAAGTTCATCTAAAATAAATAGTAAAACCAATCCAGAATCATAGTCAATATGGATCTACTTACTACATGTAATCGACTATGGATATATGTGTTAATATATGTGTACATACATGTAATCTTACCTGTAATGGGAGAAAAACTCCATCCATTTTGTGTGTGAAAATTGAAGTTTTCTTGATGTGCCATTGTGATAGTACTGAAATGTAATTGTGTTAAATTATCTTTATTCTGAGTCAGTATGATAGTAATATCATAGTAACGAAAACTATAGCATTTATAGATTGTTGAAAATAACCGATGGTTCATATTATAAAAGTGTTAAAATCAACTTATTTTTTAACTGCGTATAGAAAAATTTCAAAATTTATTTCTAAAATAATTGATTAAACAGAGGTCAGCGTGGTAAAGCTCATGGTAAAGCTCATGCTCTGGCAGATGAGGCTCGTTAGCTGGGGACAGTAGCTCTTCTAGGAGAGACAACTCCAAAATTTAAAAAAAACTGCTGCTTTGTAGTTTGTTTTTAGGTGGTCAAAGGCTATGGAAGCAAATCCAAAAGAAAAGAAGGCTGAAATCGGAGTCAATGGCCTGAAAGGCGCATAGGGTTCATCCATAAATGACGTCACGCTTTTTTGGACGATTTTTACCTCCCATCCTCCATCACACATCATCACAAAAAGCCGGACCCCCCCCCCCCCTAAAATGACGTCACACCTCAGCCTAGAGCCCCCCTCAGTTGAATTTTTCTTAAAACATCGTTATATTTTTCCAAAATCTGGTCTGAACTCTGTCAACACAGAGTATTTTAATCAACTCCTATTGCAATTTAATAAAACAGCTTTCTAAAACGCGAAATAACGTCTAAAATTCGTTTTCTAACATTCCTTTTTTTATAATACAAAAGTGTGACGTCGCACCATCTGACCCCCCCTCCCCCTCGTCACACGCCGTCACAAAATTAAGAACCCCCCCCCCCTTCCCTGTGAGTGTGAGGTCATTTATGGACGACTTCATAACCAGTTGACGCATATATTTAATTGTGTTGGATCACTTCCAACACTAAAATTAAGCACGGAGAAGAAGAAAAAGAAGATTAAACATGTTTGCAACAACGTTCCAATCAAAAATCATATAAATTCAAACTATGCAGCATGATAGCTATACATAACCTATAAATATATATCATTGCATTAACCTTGATTAAACAGAACATGTATTCAGCGTTTAGCATTTTAAAATACGGATAGCTGATAGTATATTAGCAGATATTACATTAACATTCAATTAAAAATGTTAAATAGTTTGAAAATTTTACAAAATATGACACCTAATAAACAGAATAATCAATATATGCATTAAAACGTACGCAAGAATAACAATAGTCTCCTTGATAAACATGTAATTTTGATTACGCTTGTTGCTGTTCGTATAAATAGAATCGGGAAAACCAAAGATTACTATATTTTTTAATGCATCTCGGAGAGAAATTTAATTTTAATAGAAAATATATACTTTAACCAGTGACTGGCCCCTGGATATACTATAATATACATCTTAATCCTCCCCCCCCCACCCCACCCCACCCCCCTCAAGGATAATTTAGTTATTGTCTCAGCCACTGCGGTTTCTTAATGCGAACTGTAAATTTCTGCGAATGGGGATGTTGTCTAGTTTATACCACCAAGTGTTCGATCATGAGATTTTTAACAGCCTAAAATATTCCCTAGTTAAGTGTTTGTTTTCTGTTACAAGGTTGTATGTTAAAACTGTTGGCTACGAGACTATATGTCCCAGTGGCAAACTGGCACAATGCTTCACATGAAGGCCCTATTGTTAGATCATAAGTATAAGAAAGAAACAAGTTTCCATACCTGCAAACAAGAAAATTTTAAGACGTACAGAACTTTAGATCAATATCTTGACACAAATAATAACTAGTTATGGTAGTCTACTAAACTGAAATTATCAACACGGACTGTTAGTCGGCCATATTGGTTTTCTTTCAACTAAGACGATCGCAGACTACTAATAAAATGGCGCGTTGTATTTCTCTGGTAATAGGGAAAACCCGAAGTTACTTACCGAATGCTTAAAGAGCTATTATTAGCGTTTGAATGTATAAATAACCAAAAGGGAATAACCTATTGGGTGGAGGTCTTAGGTAATATAAATTTAACACTGTGATTTTTAGAAATAGCTTACTTTTTTGCAGAGTTTCTTTCAGGCATCTCTTCGCCCCCCCCCCCCCCCGAACGAAATGAAATTTATATAATTTATATAGAAAATATATATTTTTAACAGTGTCCGCCCCCCCCCCCTCCGAAAATTTCAAGTGCCCCCCCCCCCCCCCCGGAGAAAAAAGTCTGGAAGAAACACTGCTTGTTTGTTAGATTAATTAACGAAATCAATATATCTACGATTTAATTTTAGGAAAGCTTTCTTTTACCATTTAGTCTGGAATATTCATCGCGTAAAATTATGTATATAAAGTAAATAGATGTTGCCTACGATGTATAGATATATAGTTTCAAATTTTCAGGCAAAACTATTACTTTTTACCAAAAATAAACAAGTTAAACTTGAAAAAAATGTATGGATGATTGTTATGCCGACAAGGGATGACCGTCACCTAGGTAAAATAATTTTTGTTGATAAACTGTTTAAAGATTATTTGCCCTTATCCAACATCATTTTTTTTTTTTTTACATCTGCTTAAATCAAACAAACCCAAGGCATAAATATTAAACACTTTTATTAGAGACTGCTTTTTTTTTTTTAAAGCCGTTAACTTGAGTACTGTTTAAGTTAGGTGCACAAAATTTCATATTTTGGTATTCGCTGTAAAATTTCATTCAACATTTTAGTGGTTTCAGCTAAAGTTAAGAGATACTTCATCTGTAACCGATTTCTCAAAAAGTTTCAGAATTTGAAAAAAATTTAGTAATCCTAAGAGTTTTTCGTCTAAATGTTCTGGAAGTGCCATCTCAACGTTAAATTAATGCTGTATAGAACTATGAAGGGGAGAATCTTTAATAAAGTCATAAAAAACCCACTTTCCGGTTTTTTTCTATGACATCTGCTTTAATAACAGCGCACACACTTAAATATGTAACCGACATCTTGATATGTGTCCTGTGCATATATATATATATATATATATATATATATATATATATATATATATATATATATATATATATATATATATATATATATATGTATCTTTTACTATATATCCTTTACTCCTACTCCTGCTCCCCCTTCACCTACCTGCTCTCCCTTCACCCACCTGCTCACCCTTCAACCACCTGTTCACCCTTCACCCGCCTGCTCACACCCTTCACCCCTGTTACTATAATCGAATATGTATTGAACACTTGTTAAGTTTACACCGTGATATTTTAAAAGCCTTTGATGACTTGGAAAACCGTTAATAAATAAATAAATAAATAAATAAATAAATAAATAAATAAATAAATAAATAAATAAATAAATAAATAAATAAATAAATAAATAAATAAATAAATAAATAAATAAATAAATAAAATATAAGAAGAGTTTTGTTCTGATTTTAGTGTGTGTGTGTGTATGAATGTGTGTGTGTGTGTGTGAATGTGTATACGTTTAGCATACTCGTACCAGAAAACTTAAAAATAAGGTAATGAAAAAAGCCTGGGAGCCACCGTTAAGTGTGGCAACAGCTGTCGCATGTTGGCTAATGCATCGGTGAGAAGCACTTAGGGCATTCCCATTAATCAAACTGAGCTGTCAAAGCGACCGAGAAAACCCATTTATCAGTGTCAAAAGGAAAAGCTTCACGGGCGGGTCGATACGTAACAGCTTTCGCTAATGAGTAACAGGTGTCGGTAATGGTTGTTATACACAAAGAACTTTCTAGTACACTTTAGTGTTTGTCTTTTATTTTAAACACCATACAACAAAGAAAAGAAATATATCAAATAAATAAACAACATACAAACAACAATTAAACAAATTAAAAGTTTTTAAAAAATTAAACTAATAATAAATAAAATAATTAAAATAATTAAACTAATTAAAAACAAAATAAATTAAAAAATTTAAAATTAAAAAAAAAATCAAAATTTAAAAAATTAAAATTACGTAACTAGTCAATAAAAATTACACAATATAAACAAAGTAATTAAATTAAATTCAAACTTATTTTAAAAAAAAAAAAAAAAATTTAAAATTACAAAATCAAAATTTAAAAAATCAAAATCAAACAAATAATCAAATTACGTAACTAGTTAATAAAAAAATTACAAAACAAATTAAAAAAAAAATCAAATTTAAATTTAAAAAAAAATAATTAAACTAATTAAAAATAAAAAAATAATAATTTTAAAAATTTAAAAATTTAATCAATTAAAATCAAACAAATAATCAAATTACGTAACTCGTTAATAAAAATTAATTTAAAATTTTAAAAAATCAAATTAATTAAAATCAAACTAATTAAAATATCATTAAAATTACGTCACTGTGTCACTGATTACGTCACAAGGTCACCGATGGTGATTACGTCACAAGGCCACCGGTGATTACGTCACAAGGTCACACTATATCTTGTTGTCCCGCCGGCTCACCCACCCTCACCCACCTGCTCACCCAGGTGGGTGAGTATTTTACTATATGTCGATGTACCTCCACCTCTCCCAGGGAGTATTTTACTATATCTCATCGTCCCGCCGGCTCACCCACCACCGCCAGGTGGGGGAGTATTTTGCTATATGTCATTGTCCTGCCGGGTCCCCCAGGCGGGGAGTATTTTCCTATGTATCCTTTGCTCCACCTCCACCTCCACCTCCGCATCCGCATCCACCATACTACCCAAAAGGGACCTAATATACTACTCGAGTAAACCAAGTTAGTCGAGTAAATCAAGTGTCGAAAAAACCAAGTAAGTCAAGTAAATCAAGTAAGTCGAGTAAATCAAGTGTCGAGTAAACCAAGTAAGTCGAGTAAACCAAGTAAGTCGAGTAAATCAAGTGTCGAGTAAACCAAGTAAGTCGAGTAAATTATAGCTTCACTGCTAATCTAACATGCAATCCAATACCTTCCCCATATCGCAGTGTGTGCTTATGCTAGTAGGGAAAAACATTTGATGGAGAGGTTCTCAAGCTGTCGTCTTTCCCATCCATATTTTGATTTGTTTCTAACGTGTCTGCTTTTCAAAAACCTAAATGTTCTTGTATGGAACGGCGTGGCCTAGTCCATTAACCCGAGAGTCTCGAGCTCGAGTCCGGGTTCAAGTCAGTAGAATGTCCCTGATACACATTTCCCCAGGCACCGGGAGGGGTCGCTACGACTCTGATAAGATGTATTGACAATACGTATAGTTTAGCTATTCATTATAACGATTTCGGTGTTAAAAAACTACGGGATTTGTTTCGAATTGTTAAAAAATTAACAGAACTATTATACTGGCATGGATAATTTATATGTATGTATAAACTAAATAAAGTAAAATAATTGTCCTTTAATAAGTAATAATGCACTACAATTTATTTTATTTATAAATATCCCATATATATATATATATATATATATATATATATATATATATATATATATATATATATATATATATATATATATATATATAGGCTATATATATATATATATATATATATATATATATATATATCCGCTCCCCCTAAACAGAAAACCTACCTACATACCTTGACCTTACCCAGGCTACTTTATGTCGCCGAAAACTGTTTCTCCCGAGGTCGGTGTATCCCAGGTTGAGAACCTGTCATTTAAGAAAAATACGGTCAACTTTTGCGACATGTTTATGGACTGGCTTACAACTGTTGTGTTACACTAAAAAGGAAACTGTAAACATTATCTTATTTTCCTTAACTGGCGTTATAGCTTTTAAAAAATAAACAGTGCCGGGGTTCCTTGTAAGATTTTTAAAATGTTGATTTCAATGTAAAGAGTTTTAAAAGATAAATGTTTTTTATAACAATAGTAGAAAAATGACTATAGTGCCTTTTGATAACTACTAAAGAGCTACACTAGTCCAATCAAATGATAAACAACTAAATGTGATTATTTATCTACTGCCTACATTTAATGACAGAAAGCAAAACATTGTCTTTCACATCCTAACTAGTCCGTAACAAAATGTTAACAGAAATTAGTCAACAAGCTTGGATTGACCTTGAGAAGTCGGAAACAAAACAGATGTTTTCATTTTTTTTCTGGTGTAAAATTTCTTGTCAGCATTAGATAAGTCTTAGGTTCACGTTTGGCTCAAATCTGCTCATTAACGGGCCAACACTTCAGCTGGCTGTATCGTCACAGTCCACGAAACTAAGAACTGCCAAAGTCCACCAAGCTAAGATCTGCGGTATCGTTACAGTCCACCATCTGCGGTATCGTTACAGTCCACCATCTGCGGTATCGTTACAGTCCACCAAGCTAGATCTGCAGTGTCGTTACAGTCCACCTAAGATCTGTTTAATCTATCCAACGATGTCTTTGTCCACCCTTTCAAAGATTCGACATTTTGCAAGTCCTTGTAAGTAAATTATCAACATAAACGTATAGGTCTTTGTTTGACTTTTTTATATAAACTAAGCACTGCATCAACATAGAAATGCTTTTATCGTTTGTTTGACCTTTTATACAGCATAAAACATCAACTTTAAAAAAAAAAATTATTTTATTTTTATGCAAGATATTTTTGTTGCCTACAGAACATACGTAAAAACAAGAATTGCTTGGATTAATCCTACATTCAACAACAGAATATCTTATTAGCTTCTAGATTTTGACAAATGGGTTAATTATGGTTTTAGAGGATTTGTTCACATTGTTTTCATTTGTTAAATGTCGCAAATCTGTAAGTTTCATATTCATTATTTGACCTAAACAATGAATGGATTAATTTTTGGTTCGTTTTCGATTTGTCTCAAAATTTCCCATTCAGTGGATACGATCGTTGATGCAAGCTACACCAAAGTCAGATATTTTTTATTTAAAAATATTATAATTTAATGTTAAAAACACTATTTGTGCCAAAGCACTTTTAACATATGGTTCAGACTTCTTATCACTTGAAGCTTTAGGTCAAGTTGATCTTATTGACACGAAGAAAGATAAGATTACAATTTAAATGAATATTCACGGATTCAATGCTAAATAATTCCGTCGTAACCTATTTTTACAATATTTGAATCAACATAATTTCACAACTTTACGAAGCCTGATCAGATTTTGTTAAAAGCCTGCTTTACGCCTTGATTTAACCAGCTAGATCTAACGTGCTAACGTGTATTAATGGTCTATTCCAGTGGCTTTAACCTCCTCCCACAAATGGAGCCGCAGGAATTTCGCCGTGGAGGCGTGTGAAGAGCCGCCCGGCCCCTCGGTGAAGACCCCCATACCTGGGCCCCAGTCTCAGCAACTGAAGCGTGAACTGGACACCCTACAGGTGAGATCTGTCTGCGGACATTGGGCAGTGTGTGGACACTGGTCAATGTGTGGTTGGTCAATGTGTGGACAATTGTCAGTGTGTGGACACTGGTCAATCAGTGTTTCTTCTAGGTATATCTTCGGGGAGGGCCCCCCCCCCCACACTTCGAAGAGAGTCAGCCCCCCCCATCCCACGAACATAATAGATTTATAACAATGTCCGCCCGCGGGAAATGTTAATCCACCCTCCCCCCCCCCCCCCCCGAAAATTTAATGTGACCCCTCCCCCCGGAGAAAAAAGTCTGGAAGAAACACTGTAGTCAATGTGAGAAATAGTCATGAGAAATAATTTTACTAACATTTATGTTTTTAATCCCAAATTTCAATATTAATGTATTAGTAACCATGTAAGTTGTGTTGCCCTATGTTTAAAAATACATTAGGGTTTCAAAAACCATGTTAGATTCAAGATTTAATAAACCAAATATTGAGACACATCAAATAAATTTTCTCCCACTAACGGCTTGTGTACACCAACAGAACACAGAGGCCATCCAGTTTTTTGTTGACTACCAGAAAAGTTCCGGGAACTACATCGTGGATGTGGATGGGAATGTTATGCTGGATCTGTATACACAAATAGCCAGCATTCCTATAGGTGGGTCAATACAAACATACCTACAGGTGGGTCTTTACAATCATTCCTATAGGTAGGTCTTTATTGTATAAACATTCCTATAGGTGGGTCTATTATACAAACATTCCTATAGGTAGGTCTTTATTGTATAAACATTCCTATAGGTGGGTCTATTATACAAACATTTCTATAGGTGGGTCTTTATTGTATAAACATTCCTATAGGTGTGTCTATTGTACAAACATTCCTATAGGTGGGTGTATTGTACAAACATTCCTATAGGTGGGTCTTTACTGTAAAATCATTCCTATAGGTGGGTGTATTGTACAAACATTCCTATAGGTGAGTCTTTACTGTAAAATCATTCCTATAGGTGGGTGTATTGTACAAACATTCCTATAGGTGGGTGTATTGTACAAACATTCCTATAGGTGGGTCTTTACTGTAAAATCATTCCTATAGGTGGGTGTATTGTACAAACATTCCTATAGGTAGGACTTGTTTACACTTATAGCATCTCAGAATGAGGGTCTATAAACACGAATTAGTAATATACTATGATCCATTAAGTAGCTTTAAGAAAAAAAATCACCACAATGTAAAGTGAAATAAATGCATGAGTTCGTCCTGTGAACTAGAACTTTAATTGTGAGAAAAAAAATATACTGACGCGCTATATAATAAAATCCCTCGGCCTTGAATCGCTATGTCAGTTTTACTTCCATTGAAACTTGTATCGTTGAACTGTTTTACGTTATTGGTTGCACTAGTGGTGACTAGAACTCACACAATGATTTGACCTTATGATTGCACCAGTGGTAACTAGAACACACACAATAACTTTATCTTTCTGCAGGCTACAACCATCCTAGGCTGGTCAACGTGCTGAAGAATCCAGACAATATGGTAAACAAATTGACACGTCTTTTGTAACAAATTTTAAACTAAAAGCACCGATTTCTCTAAATAACTGACTTTATATATATATATATATATATATATATATATATATATATATATATATATATATATATATATATATATATATATATATATATATATATATATATATATATATATATATATATGTAACGAGTCCCCGAGTCTATCCTGCCGACAACGCCAAATGTAACGAGTCTCTGGCTACCCTGCCGACAACGCCAAATGTGACCTTCCCGAGTCTAACCACTCATTCCACACAACATTGACCACAGCATAGATACTCGAAGATGCAGGTTCATTATTGATCCTTTTATTACATGAATCAAAGAATGCTTCACAATAATATAATGAATCAAGAGAGATGTTTCACAATAATAGTCTGAATCAACGGACCCCCAACAGTCCTCACTAGGCTTCATCTAACTGAATACACATGTCTAACGTCCTTCTTAACACAATATAACCAACTTGATCTGCCACACAGACTGACTGATCGAGAGCGGGCGAGAGAGTCTCCGTCTCTGTCTCCGTCTCCTCTCCGTGTCTCTGTGTATCCGAACCCAGCCGTCGCCTTCCCATATATATCCCCTTCATAATCGTACTCATATTCGGTCCTATCATAATCGTAATCGTAATCGTTGCATTACGCCGCTTCTGTTGTACAGTCCGATTTAATAAGCCATCTGCATCCTGTCACATCAAAGTTGACAGACCGTCTTTCGTATCGCTTCCCGAGATACTACGCCTTGGCTTTCTGATCGTTATCAGCCACCACCTGTGTTATTGCATCAGTCGTGTCAAAGTTGACAGCGCTGTACCGCGTTCTTATGTCTCTGGTGTAACTTCCCCTAGTTACATCCACCCCTGCCTTTTTTTGTGTGTTATCAACCACAAACAACGCCCGGCAGGTGCAGTCCTTCAAAGTCCATCGCACCACCGTAAAAAAATCCATTGTTCCACTCACTGTCAATGTCGTCACATTCGTATAAGACTGACCGTTATCCCTATTTCACATATCAAATGTGTCTACATCATCTTCCTCAGACACAAAACAGTTCTAGAATTCACATCCACCTTTTTTCGTCTGGTGCCTTCACCAGTTCACTTTTATGACTTTTTGAACAGTCTGTTCTCATACCAGCGCGACCATGAAAGAATTGATGGTTGCTGACAAAAAATTTCGTATTCTTTCTGTTTCTCAAACTTCTCCGCGGACCACTTATCTGATGGTCTACTGTCTCTCTGCTTTTGGAGGGACCGGGATCCTCCTTGTTGCCGGTATCCTCCCTTTGTGTGTCGCTGTTGCGCTGTTGATGGTGACATGGTTCCGGGATGGGTATGTGAATTTCCGTTATAGTTTCCGGTTCCCTAATTGTCTTGGGTTTCCTTGTGTGTAACTGCTCTTCTTGACTATGACAATATTTCTTTAATTGAGCAATATTCGCCCACCGATCCGGTTTGGCGTGATCGATGGGTCTTATCTTAAAGGGGCCACCTGCTACTTTAGGCATCTCCACGACTTGCCATATCTCCTGTCCCCAGAGATCGTGGATTTTGTTTCTGCCTAACGGGTGGCTACGCAGTAATACCCTGTCGTTCAGTTTGAGTGGCGGGTCCTTTGTCTGTACCGGCGGTTCCCTTCGCCGTGCTTCATGTTCTAGTCTTTCCTGTACTACCCTGTACATTTCTCTAATTCGTCTCATATGTTCATTCACATATTCCAGTGCAGTGTATGAGCCAGTCATACTCTCCTTTTTTCCTAGGAACAAGTCAAGGGGGAGTCGAGCCTCCCGTCCGAACAGCAACATGTGTGGCGAAAAGCCGGTTGTGGCATGGGGGGTGCAGTTGTATAGATATACCAACTCTGGGAGAAAATCAGGCCAACGTTTTTTCTGTTCAGGTTCTAGAGTACGCAGCAAATCATGCATGCTGCGGTTGAACCGCTCGCACTGTCCGTTTCCTTTCGGATTAAATGTGGTTGTTCTAGATTTGTTGATCCCGTAGTGGCTGCACAGTTGGTTAATTACTTCTGACTCGAAGGCCCTTCCTTGGTCAGAGTGTAATTGTCTTGGTATGCCATATTTGATGAACCAATGTTCTATTAAGACCTTTGCCACTGTTTTGGCAGTCTGATCTCGTGTGGGCACCGCCACAGTCCATTTGGTGAATACATCAGTCATTACCAACACATGTTCCGTCCCATCCGATGATTGCTCCAACGACGTAAAGTCCATAGCCACAATCTCTAGTGGTTTTGTCGCTAATAGGTGTCCCGATGGCTGTCTCATTTTGACAACTGGCATTTTCGCATGCTGACACCTCACACAAACCTCACAATGGCGTTTGACCTCCATTTCCATATTGGGCCAGTAACACCTTCGTCGTAATATTTTGTGCGTCCTGTCCTGACCCTGGTGTCCTGCCCTGTCATGTGCCAACCTTAGCACTTCTTCTCGTAATTGTCCAGGCACCACCACCTGGTGTATTGTCCCATCAATTTGGTCATGAATTCTCCGCATGAGAACACCATCCTTTATACTGAGACGGTCCCACTGACTCAGTATTTTCTTTGTTTCTCGACCAAATTGTTCTCTTTCCCTTCTTCCTGGGAATTTTTGTTCCTGGACGTGTTTCAACAGCGGCTGTAAGCCACTATCCGTTCTCTGGGCATCTCTTATCTCTTTGTGATTAAGGCAACTAAAATCACCAATGTCCATATGTCCGGGCTCTGTGGAAATGTGCTCCACCCCGGTCTGTCCGTTCTGCCTCACTTGCACCCCGTGAGGGATATCTGTTGACGCTCTGACCTCACATATTCCTGTCAGCGTTTCTTCCTCATCGCCCGGTCTCTCGTAAGGATTCCTTGATAAGGCGTCCGCATTGCCATTGGACCGCCCCGGGCGATATTTTATCTCTAGGTCAAAGAGTGCCAATTCTGCTGCCCATCGCTGTTCGATGGATCCCAACTTTGCTGTCTTTAGGTGACTCAAGGGGTTATTGTCTGTGTATACTACACATTTAGCACCTAATAGATAGTCCCTGAATTTTTCCGTCACAGCCCATTTTAATGTCAAAAGTTCTAGTTTCATGGCGCTGTAATTTGTCATGTTCTTCTCTGATTCCTTCAGAGCTCGACTGGCATAAGCAATAACCCTGAAACCTTGCTTTTGTTGTTGTGATAGCACAGCTCCCAGACCTTTAGAGCTGGCGTCAATTTCTAGCCGAAATGGTTTGTCAAAGTCCGCGTATCCTAATATCGGCGCCTCTGTCAAAGCCTTTTTCAATAGCTTAAACGAGTTCAGGCATTCATCAGTCCATAATTCACCTATCAGTTGTGTTTTACCTTTCTTTTTCTCCTTACTGTGTTTCTTTGTCATTTTGTTTACCAAGTCATGCAATGGTGCGGCAATTTTTGCAAAACCAGGCACAAATTTTCTATAATAGGAAGCAAAGCCCAAGAATGATCTGACCTCTACCGTAGTTGTTGGCTGTTTCCATTCTTTGACAGCTGCAATTTTATCTGGGTCAGTGGCGATGCCATCCGACGAAATCACGTAACCCAAAAAATGTACCGATTTCAGACCGAAGCAGCATTTGTCTGGGTTCAGCTTTACTCCTATCTCCCTAAGACGGAGAAACACTTGTTCTAATCTTTCTAGATGGTCCTCCCAAGTTTTTGAATAAACTAGTATATCATCCAAGTACACCAACATTATTTGAAATAGAAAGTCACTCATAGCACTCTGCATTACTCGCTGGAATGTAGCAGGTGCATTAGTTAGACCAAACGGCATACGGGTCCACTCGTACAGTCCCAGTGGAGAAATAAATGCAGTTTTATGTTGATCGTTGGGGTGCATGGCCACTTGGTGGTAGCCACTAGCCAAATCCAAGGTAGAAAAAAATCTTGCTCCCCCCAACGCATCAAGACATTCATCAATACGAGGCAAGGGGAATGCATCCCTTCTTGTGATATTGTTCAATTTCCGGTAATCACAACACAGTCTTATCTCCCCTGACTTCTTTTTTACCACTACTATCGGTGCCGCATACGGGCTCGTGCTGGTTGTAATAATTCCCTTTTTTAGTAGATCGTTCAGGTGTGCCTTCACCGCAGAGTAGTGACTCGGTGGTAATCTTCGATAAGGTTGCGCCACCGGCTTGTCTTGTAGTAAGGGTATCTGGTGTTTTATTACTTCCGTGTAACCCAAATCACCCTCGTACGAGGCAAATATATCCCTGTACTTATTCAACAATTCATTTAGTTTTGGGTCCTCAGTTTCCGGGAATGTATATGATCGGCCATCCTCTTTCTTCACCTCGGCCGTCACATTGACCGACCTAATTGTTACTTCATTACTGCTGGTATTGCTCAGTTCGATGCACTGTGCCGACCTTTGTACCTCGACGTTCTGTGGTACTCCTACCAGAGTATTTGGCGGTATAAAAATTTCCTCATCCAAAACATTTGCCACTAGTCCTTGAACTAGTCCATTTTCCGCTGATGTGTATGTCCGCAGTAACACGACGCCTGCCCTCAGTGCGGCGCCACATGGTTCTATCATCACATCACCATTCACGCTCCTATCACCAATTTGTAATGTGATTGCCTTGACCGTGTTTGCCGGGACTGATATCCTTCCTCTGGTCTTGGCAAACCTGGCCAACTTGGATCCCCGACCTGGTGTGGTCGATCCGACCATATTTGTAAGAAATTCTGGCAACTGGCCAAGAATATTCATGCCCAACAGGCAAGGTATATTTGACACATTTGTCTCTAGGTTGTGTTTCGTAACGAACACCCCAACCTGCTTCAACCTATGTCCCGCCACCACGACATCCGCCAGAAAATAACCACAGTAAGGAATGGTTAGTCCATTAGCTGCCGTCAGGCGCATGCATGTGTCAGACCTCAACCTATGGTCTTTTCCTTTCATCCATTTGGTGTAAAAATTTTCCGTGATTGTCGTCACCTGGGAGCCTGTATCCACAATTGCCTTCACCGCGATGTCCCCAATCGTAATCACCATTTCGGGACAGACTCCCATCAATTTGCTTCTTGGGCCATAGCCTCGCCCCTCTGTAGCCTGGCCCTGCCTTACAGAGGACGACCGTTTCCCTGGCAGTACCGTGCCATATGTCCGGGTTGTGAACAGGACAAGCAAACTGGTCGACCGTCAGCCGTCCACCGGAGCGATGGACCGGCGGGTCGCGGCCGTCCAACCTGTCTCTGTTTTGTCCCGTTCTTTTCCTGATTCTCAGCTGTTGACCTGCTTTCTAACCTCTCCAATCTTTGGTTAACCTTATCCAGGTGGGCCAACAGTCGAGCCATCATGGTTTCCACCGTGCCGGTCCCCGTGGGTGGGGATTGTTTCTGTTCCGGCACCGAGACTTTGTCCACCGAACAGTTCAATTGGTCCTCATCCTCGGACCTGCGGATCGCTGAGTTCCTGACCTGAAGGAAGGTCAACTGCGGGTCTTTATGGACCTCCTCTTTCAACTCTCTCCTTAAGATCGGGGTTGCTAGCCCCTCGATGAACTGGTCCCTCAGTAGGCGTACATCAATGTCAGGTGTTTTGCCCTTTACCGAATCAAAGGCCCTGTTTATTCGGTGTGAATACTCCATCACACTCTCCGCCATTCTCTGCTTTAAGCCTACGAACCCCGATAGCAGTTGCGATCCCGACCGTCTCTCCCCAAAGGTCTCCATAATTAGATCCAGCACCTTATCTGGATCTGATTGGACGGTTTTATCGTGGCATTTGACCTCTGCCCTAACCGTCTCTCCTATACTGCCCATCAGCAGTCTTAATCTTTCCTCTGGTGACATGTTTCTCGAGGCCCAGGCCGCTTTGACCTCCTCACTGAACCTGTTGGTTAAAGTTGGATCACAGTCCCCGTAAAATTTGTTAATGTGGGACTCTCTGGGCAGGACCACAATATGGGTCTGCTTCTCGTCCAGAGTAGACATTTTATTCCTTTAGTAAAAAAAAAGAGTTCTTTCTTACCGTGTGTGTATGAAAAAATTTTCCTCGTTCCTCAATTTTCACTGTTCCTGAATGTCCGAATTCACACACACACTAAACACAGTTATGAACTAGGTTGACTATGGGTGCCTAACGCGGCAAGTCTCGTTGAATTCATCCTGGTCGCAGCGCCAAATGTAACGAGTCCCCGAGTCTATCCTGCCGACAACGCCAAATGTAACGAGTCTCTGGCTACCCTGCCGACAACGCCAAATGTGACCTTCCCGAGTCTAACCACTCATTCCACACAACATTGACCACAGCATAGATACTCGAAGATGCAGGTTCATTATTGATCCTTTTATTACATGAATCAAAGAATGCTTCACAATAATATAATGAATCAAGAGAGATGTTTCACAATAATAGTCTGAATCAACGGACCCCCAACAGTCCTCACTAGGCTTCATCTAACTGAATACACATGTCTAACGTCCTTCTTAACACAATATAACCAACTTGATCTGCCACACAGACTGACTGATCGAGAGCGGGCGAGAGAGTCTCCGTCTCTGTCTCCGTCTCCTCTCCGTGTCTCTGTGTATCCGAACCCAGCCGTCGCCTTCCCATATATATCCCCTTCATAATCGTACTCATATTCGGTCCTATCATAATCGTAATCGTAATCGTTGCATTACGCCGCTTCTGTTGTACAGTCCGATTTAATAAGCCATCTGCATCCTGTCACATCAAAGTTGACAGACCGTCTTTCGTATCGCTTCCCGAGATACTACGCCTTGGCTTTCTGATCGTTATCAGCCACCACCTGTGTTATTGCATCAGTCGTGTCAAAGTTGACAGCGCTGTACCGCGTTCTTATGTCTCTGGTGTAACTTCCCCTAGTTACATATATATATATATATATATATATATATATATATATATATATATATATATATATATATATATATATATATATTCTGCAATCTCGCTTAAATAGATTAAATAAGATTATAACACATTTTTAGAAACCAGTAAGCCTATTGTGCAAGTTTTATATGTATTCTTCTACAGAGCACATTTGTCAATCGACCAGCACTTGGGATATTTCCACCTTCAGAGTTTGTGAAAACTTTATCGGAGTCCCTGCTGTCGGTAAGTTGGTGGCAGAGATCATTTTATGCTGCGTGATAATTGTCCCAAACTTTAAGGTCCAAATTCTCTAACTTCGGTTTAATTTTTTTTTTTAAATATACGGCGTAACAACTCTGAATTTATGCAGAAATTTCTAGATCTATTAATGTAGTATGCAGTAGCGTAGCGAGGGGGGTGGGGGGGGGGGGGACATATGTCCCCGGGCGCCGACCTTAGGGGGCGCCAAAATGGGTTGGAAAAATAAATCGAAAGTTTGAGGGGGGGATGTAAATCGAAATCTCGAGGGGGGGGGGGTGAAAATCGAAAGTTTGAGGGGGGTTGCAAATCGAAAAGTTTGTCCCCGGGCGCCGAGAAGGGTCGCTACGCCTCTGGTAGTATGATTGTATCTGGTTGCAACTTGTGTCTTATTTGTTCAAGGTCGCACCCCCGGACATGCACCAGATCCAGACAATGGGCTGTGGCGCGTGCTCCGTGGAACATGCTCTCAAGGCGGCCTTCATGACCTTCAGGGTGAGTAACTTCAACCAGCGGTTGTGTTCGTGTGTCAGTCAACCCGTGAGTGTCTCTACATCATATAACCTTGACCCTGGCTAAAGGGAACCACGTGATTGCACCATGAGTTGATTTAGTTCTGTGTGTTTGACAGAGGAAAGAAAGGGGAGGTAGCCCCCCGTCTAAAGAAGAAATGGACACTTGCTTGTTGAATAAAGCCCCGGGGAACCCTCACATTTCAGTTCTTTCCTTCAAAAATGGTTTTCATGGCCGGACGATGGGTAAGTGTGCAGCTGTCGTTTGTAGGTAAGTGTTGCTGTCGTCTGTAGAGAAGTGCTGCTGTCGTTTGTAGGTAAGTGTTGCCGTCGTTTGTAGGTAAGTGTTGCCGTCGTTTGTAGGTAAGTGTTGCCGTCGTTTGTAGGTAAGTGTTGCTGTCGTCTGTAGAGAAGTGCTGCTGTCGTTTGTAGGTAAGTGTTGCCGTCGTTTGTAGGTAAGTGTTGCTGTCGTCTGTAGAGAAGTGCTGCTGTCGTTTGTAGGTAAGTGTTGCCGTCGTTTGTAGGTAAGTGTTGCCGTCGTTTGTAGGTAAGTGTTGCCGTCGTTTGTAGGTAAGTGTTGCCGTCGTTTGTAGGTAAGTGTTGCTGTCGCTGTAGGTAAGTGTTGCTGTCGTCTGTAGAGAAGGGCTGCTGTCGACTTTAGGTAAGTGTTGATGTGGTCGTTAGGTAAGTGGCGTCCACAGGTGCGATGGTAAACTGGTGGTTACAGCGTGATCGTACGGCGTGACACTATGACGTGAAACTTGACGTGGCAAAATGATGGAATGAGATTCAGGTAAAATTATGACAAGATGTTTTATTTATGTGTTTTTTGCAGCAAAATCTACTGCCTATTTTCATCGGCTTGAGAAAATGTAAGGCAACGTATCTTAAGCCAACCGGACAAATATCACAAATAGTCCAAATCTATTTTCCACAGCGAACCCACACTACAAAGACATTCCTTAAGATCACCCCCTCTACCAAATAGGGTTTTAAAAAATGGTTAAACTCAATCTGTGCACAGTGCATATTTCAAACTCAAACATCGGATCAAATTCTATGAGTGTATTTAAATGAAGTCCAATTAGCTGACAACAGCTCCGCCCCCCCCCCCCCCCAAGAAAGTCTACAGCCCCCTCTTCAAACAAAATTGAATTTATATAGAAAATATATACTTTAACAAGTGTACGCCTCCTCCCCCCCCCCCCCCCCTCGGAAAATGTAGTATTGGTAGAAATGTATTTGTGGAATACCCAGCGCATCCTTCTTCCTCCTCTTCCCCCCACACACAACCACAAACACAACCACACACCCACACACCAACACCACCACCACCATTGTCAGCGGGAACTTTAAAGCATGTTCTTGTTTCAGCCGCTGCTGCCCTGACCCACACCAAGTGGACCCACAGACTGGACTTCCCCAGCCCTGACTGGCCCATAGCCTCGTTCCCACAGCTCAGGTACCCGCTGGACAGCTTTGTGCGGGAGAACAGGGCGGAGGAGGCAAGGTGTCTAGCTGAGGTAGGTCACTAAAGGTCCAGGTGTTTGGCTGAGGTAGGTCACTAAAGGTCCAGGTGTTTGGCTGAGGTAGGTCACTAAAGGTCCAGGTGTTTGGTAGGACACTAAAGGTCCAGGTGTCTGGCTGAGGTAAGTCACTAAAGGTCCAGGTGTTTGGTAGGACACTAAAGGTCCAGGTGTCTGGCTGAGGTAAGTCACTAAAGGTCCAGGTGTTTGGTAGGACACTAAAGGTCCAGGTGTCTGGCTGAGGTAGGTCACTAAAGGTCCAGGTGTTTGAGGTAGGTCACTAAAGGTCCAGGTGTTTGGCTGAGGTAGGTCACTAAAGGTCCAGGTGTTTGGTAGGACACTAAAGGTCCAGGTGTCTGGCTGAGGTAGGTCACTAAAGGTCCAGGTGTTTGGCTGAGGTAGGTCACTAAAGGTCCATGTGTCTGGCTGAGGTAGGTCACTAAAGGTCCAGGTGTTTGGCTGAGGTAAGTCACTAAAGGTCCATGTGTTCGACTGAGGTAGGCCACTAAAGGTCCAGGTGTTCGACTGTGGTAGGTCACTAAAGGTCCAGGTGTTTGAGATAGGTCACTAAAGGTCCAGGTGTTTGAGGTAGGTCACTAAAGGTCCAGGTGTTTGGCTGAGGTAGGTCACTAAAGGTCCATGTGTCTGGCTGAGGTAGGTCACTAAAGGTCCAGGTGTTTGGCTGAGGTAAGTCACTAAAGGTCCATGTGTTCGACTGAGGTAGGCCACTAAAGGTCCAGGTGTTCGACTGTGGTAGGTCACTAAAGGTCCAGGTGTTTGGCTGAGGTAGGTCACGAAAGGTCCAGGTTTTTGGCTGAGGTAAGTCACTAAAGGTCTATGTGTCTGGCTGAGGTAGGTCACTAAAGGTCCAGGTGTCTGGCTGAGGTAGGTCACTAAAGGTCTAGGTGTCTGGCTGAGGTAGGTCACTAAAGGTCCAGGTGTTTGAGGTATGTCACTAAAGGTCCAGGTGTTTGGTTTTGATAGATCACTAAAGGTTCAGGTGTTTGGCTGAGGTAGGTCACTAAAGGTCCAGGTGTTTGGCTGAGGTAGGTCACTAAAGGTCCAGGTGTCTGGCTGAGGTAGGTCACTAAAGGTCTAGGTGTCTGGCTGAGGTAGGTCACTAAAGGTCCAGGTGTTTGGCTGAGGTAAGTCACTAAAGGTCCAGGTGTTTGGTTTTGATAGATCACTAAAGGTTCAGGTGTTTGGCTGAGGTAGGTCACTAAAGGTCCAGGTGTTTGGCTGAGGTAGGTCACTAAAGGTCCAGGTGTTTGGCTGAGGTAGGTCACTAAAGGTCCAGGTGCTTATTAAAGAAAATTAGTAAATATAAATAGTTACTCTTCAAATATGGCGGTCGACGATATTTTTAGCACCGGGCATAATGTAGTATAGATAAGGACTTAATACTCTTCAGATCCAATTTATGCTGGTAACTAATTTAAACTGACATATTGTGTCACTCATTCCAACATATTTTCGGTCATAGCCTTGCATTTCCCGTCCGAAATTGTAATCAGTAAAGTTCAGCCTTTGAACAAAATTAAAATGTTTAAGTTATTTAACTTAGACTTAAGCCAGCTCTGTTTTAAACTTTATCAAACAATTCGTTTAGGTGCTTTGTTTACCTTATTAGCTAGTCATCTCAGTTGGTAGGCCTACTAGTCTTGTTATGGGCTGGACCACTAAGATAAAAATAACCTATTGAGGCTAAAACAAAAAAAATAATGGAAAATTTTGATTACGTTTAAAACCTAGCTGACAAGGTCAAGGCGACTTTCATTTATCTTATCTGTAAAATAATTTTAAAATAAAGAATGAACGCATTTTTTTTCTAAAGATAGCTGGCATAATTAGTGACACATATGTCGCCAACTGAAATCGTTGAACATGTGGGATGATATACACGATTGCCTAATATGTAAACTTGATCCATATTGTGGAGGTTGATATACTTCATAATTAAATGTGATCCATATTGATTCATTAGTGGTGTTTAATCAGTCAATGGCAGCTTATTGTGTTTGCTTGTTTGTTTGATTGTTTTTTTTCAAGTGGGCTTTACCAAATGTGTTACTAGCTTGAAAGAGCTCACTATTTAAAGCCCTAATAATCTCTGGCGCACCCTATATATCTACACACAATCAATTGATCCTACGATTAATTTTTTTTAAATGTAGGAATGTGGGCTTCTGGCAGTTTGCCCTTCCTACTTCTCCTTCTCCCCCCCCCCCCCTCCCGACCCGCCAGAGATGCCTAAAAAACTCTGATCCTAGTTTACACAAAACACCCTTAGTGACGTCTAACCCATGTTCGATGTGACGTATAACCCATGTTCCCTGTGATGTGTTCAACCAAAGTGACGTATGACCCATGTTCCCTGTGACGACTAACCCATGTTCGCTGTGACGCATAAACATGTTCCCTGCGATGTCTCCACCAACAGGTCGAGGACCTAATCAGCCAGTACCGCAAGAAAGACAACCCAGTGGCCTGCATCGCCGTGGAGCCCATACAATGTGAGGGTGGGGACAACTTCGCCAGCCCACAGTTCTTTCAAGGCCTTCAAGACATTTGTAGGAAGGTTAGCTAAACTGTATTCTTCTTGACATTTGTAGGAAGGTTAGCTAAATTGTATTCTTGACATTAACAGGAAGGTTGTTTCCCTTCAACAATACATTAATCTTTTTTGAATAGGAAGAAGTCGACACGGAAATATTGCAAAAATCGCAAGTTTCAGTAACTACCCATAACTTGTCTTCCAAAAAAATAATTAAAACATAACTTTATTATTATGTAAATCTGCTTAATTTGCTGACTTAGGTAGCTCTCTATTCTTTTGAAAATCCCTCTAGTTCCTAAAGTTTTCGGTAATTAGTTGATACACTAGTCTGCTGTGTTACCTTTCCTGCTAGAACCAGATCTCACTTTTGCTGGACGAGGTGCAGACGGGTGCTGGCACCACGGGCAAGTTCTGGGCCCACGAGTCCTTTAATCTCAGAGATCCACCAGACCTCGTCACCTTCTCCAAGAAGATGTTGAGTGGGGGATTTTACTACAGGGACCATCTCCGGCCTACAGAGGTAAGTGTAAGATAAGATAAGGTTACAGATGTAAGTGTAAGATTACGTCAGGTCTCAGAGGTAAGTGTAAGATTACATCAGCTTACAGAGGGAAGTGTAAGATTATATCAGGTTACAGAGGTAAGTGTAAGATTACATCAGCTTACAGGGGTAAGTGTAAGATTACATCAGCTTACAGGGGTAAGTGTAAGATTACATCAGCTTATAGAGGTAAGTGTAATATTACGTTAGGTTACAGAGGTAAGTGTAAGATTACATCAGCTTACAGAGGTAAGTGTAAGATTATGTCAACTTACAAGGGTAAGTGTAAGATTACATCAGCTTACAGAGGAAAGTGTAAAATTACGTCAGGTTACAGAGGTAAGTGTAAGATTGCATCAGCTTACAGATGTAAGTGTAAGATTACATCAGCTTACAGGGGAAGTGTAAGATTACGTCAACGTACAGAGGTAAATGTAAGATTGCATCAGCTTACAGGGGGAAGTGTAACATTATAGCTAGCTTACACAGGTAAGTGTAAGCTTAATTCATCTTACCAGGGTGTTTACGATTATATCTAGCGTACAGCTATGTGGAGAGCGAGGGCCTGATACATAGGCAACATCTGGCTCTTCTCAACTTAGGGCCCAGGTCTGAACTTGGATTTTCCAATGGGCAATCATACAATGATCTAATTAGACTACAGAGCCATATACAGTGGTAAAAGTGATGCTACACCTAGCTAAGTGTAAGATTTCAACTAGCTTACAGTTAAAGATGTCATCTAGATACAGAGACAAGCTTAAGATGAAATAATACTAAGTGTAAGATGACGCTATTCTTACAGAGGTTTAGACAAAATCACCACACCAGATGTAAGATGTCAAAGTTAGCTCTAGTTTTATAACTAAAACCCACAAATATATAGATCTAGTTAATTCGAACGTATCTTCCCATTTGTAATAGTAACTTTCCTAATTTACATAAAAAGGGTCCGAGCTTCAAGGTAGACAAGCTTCGTGAAAGAGGGGGTTGAAGAGATTACTCAAAGGAAATTTGCTTTGGACGATTCAATACTATTCATGTCAATACTGAGAATATTGTATGACTGCCGATACTAACTATTCATGTCAATACTGAGAATATTGTATGACTGCCGATACTAACTATTCATGTCAATACTGAGAATATTGTATGACTGCCGATACTAACTATTCATGTCAATACTGAGAATATTGTATGACTGCCGGTACTAACTATTCATGTCAATACTGAGAATATTGTATGACTGCCGATACTAACTATTCATGTCAATACTGAGAATATTGTATGACTGCCGATACTAACTATTGCTACTGACGATACTACAGGGATTCCGAATCATGAACACCTGGATAGGCGACCCCTCCAAAGTTCTGTTACTGAAGGAAGTTCTCAACGTCATCAGGGAGGAGAAGCTCTTGAACAGGACAGTGGACACTGGCAACTACCTGCTTAAGTTTTTACTGGACACCCAGGTAACATGCAAACACAGGTGAAGTAGAGCTGACATGTTTTAATGACCTCAGGGTATGGATGAAGGGATAATGTGCACAGCCGCCTTTACTTTCCTTAACGTAAGGCAGGTACCCATTAGTGCTGGGTGGACTCAGAGGCGCCCTACGTACTCGAGATCCGAACTCAAGACTTTCAGGTTTGGAGTCGAACGCACAACTACTTTAGTAATCTATTAATGTTTTAAAAAATAAATAAATAATAAGCAATCTTTATAATGTTTCATAGACGTTTAATTAGCAAAAGTATTAATGATAAAATCGAATAAATGTTTGTATTTAACTAAATTATTTTTGCTGGGAAACCCCCTTAGCTACTTTAGTCTTAAATTACCTTTACTTGCTGGTGAAATACCTTAAGTTACTTTAGCCTTAAAACACCTTTATTTATGGGTGAATGACTTTGTTACTTTAGTCTTAAAACATCTATTTAGAGGTGAAACACATTGTTACTATAATCTTAAAACACCTGTATTTACAGGTGAAACACTTTAAGTTGCTGTAATCTTAAAACACCTGTATTTACAGGTGAAACACCTTAAATTACTTTAGTCTTAACACACCTGTATTTACAGGTGAAACACCCCAAGCTCCTGTCTAAAGCCAGAGGTCTGGGTGCTATAGCGGCCATTGACCTGCCCAGCGGTGAGGTGAGGGACAAAGTCCTCTACAAGCTGAGAGAAAAAGGTAACGCCGCCATAATGCTTGACCAATTAACTTTAATTACTTAAGACTTTAAAAAACTCATCAATACATTATCTGCCTGGATTAGTAAAGCGAAATGGAACTCCTGAACATCTAAACACCAGAGATAAAGGAGTTCTTTTCTTATTTTAATTTTGTTTCGAATTTGCTTTGAGTAGAACAGAGACACGCAAAAAATATATTTGATGTGAAAAGTCCGACAATTTCTAAGGGTGATATCAGCAGTGTGTTTCTTTCAGACTTTCTAGGGTACTTTAAACTTCCGGGGGGAGGGAACTAAGTTTTTGACACAGGGGGCGGTAGACGTTCTTCGGTAGATGTTCTCCCCCTGAAGAGAGGCCTGAAAGAAGCACTAGATATCTGTGTGCAAGGATGTGACATTAAAATTAGATGGGTTCAGTGTAGGCATGAGAGGTTGACCAAACCTGGAAGAAATGGGCGTCTCCATGTCTACCGTCCAATCTCATTCGATGAGACGATGACGAACTTCACATATATTTTGACATACATGAATCTGTCAACATCTTTATATTTTTTATTTTTACATGGATCTTTTACAAGTCTGTAATCTTTTGATACATATAAATACGTTGTGTCCATTCGCCTATTCTCCCCAATTCATCCTTTATTCTTTATGCCAATGTGTCTTTTGACAGGCAATTATCTTGTTATATACTATTCCAAACACCTTGCTGTTGTCTGTAATCCTTCAACTTCTTGTTCCTACAATCCAGTATCTGGTTTCGTTTATTTACTAGGTAAAAAGCTCGTGCATGTCTATTTCAGGAATCCATCTTGGCGCATGCGGAGCTGCAACTCTTAGATTGAGGCCAACCTTGACCCTGGAGAAGAAACATGTCGATATATTTGCAGACAAATTCGAAGCCGTTTTAAAAGAATTATAAACAAAATGTATAGCTTATATTTCATGTTATTTTATTTCTTTTTAAATTGTCTTTAAAATTTGAATTAGTTAAACCATTTGTAGGCCTACTGTCTATTGGTTAATAGAATATGTAGGTTTATGTGACTAAAATCAATGTCTGGGTTGCTTCCCTTATCCCCGAAAATCCTTGCCACGGGAACGTTCCTATTAGTGTGTAACTGTGTTTCATTTTTGCATTTAAATTGTACGTAAATAAAATGTACCAACATAAATTGTACCACAATAAATTGTACCAAAATAAATTGTAAAAATCTTTTTTGTTTTATTTAACAGGGAAAAAAATAACCTACGAAAGGTATTTATATAAATAAGGTTTACAGTTTAAAAAATGTTGTTGCTAATTTGTTGCTAATTTTACTAAAATATTTAATAGCTGTGGACGTCAGCAGACATAGCCGCATCATTATCCACACACTTAAAGATCTCTCACACACACAAAACGCCCAACAAACACACATACACACAACACCTCTCTCTCTCTCCCACACACACAAAACACCCCCACACACATTCACACAATACATCTCTCTCCACCACAAACACACACACACAAAGCTCCTCTGTCACACACACACCCCACTCACACACAAAATACCTCTCACACACACATTCACACACAACACCTCTCTCTCTCCCACACACACACAAAACACCTATCACACACATTCACACAATACATCTCTCTCCACCACAAACACACACACACAAAGCTCCTCTGTCACACACACACCCCACTCACACACAAAATACCTCTCACACACACATTCACACACAACACCTCTCTCTCTCCCACACACACACACACAAAACACCTGTCTCACACACACAAAAACCCTCACACACACACAAAACACCTATCACACACACACAAAACCCTCACACACACACACACAAAATACCTCTCACACATTTACACACAACTTCTCTCTCCCCACACACACACAAATCACCTGTCTAACACACACAAAACATGTTTCACACACACACACACACAAAATACCTCTCACACATTTACACACAACTTCTCTCTCCCCACACACACACAAATCACCTGTCTAACACACACAAAACATGTTTCACACACACACACACACAAAATACCTCTCACACATTTACACACAACTTCTCTCTCCCCACACACACACAAATCACCTGTCTAACACACACAAAACATGTTTCACACACACACACACACAAAATACCTCTCACACATTTACACACAACTCCTCTCTCCCACACACACACACACAAACACCTGTCTAACACACAACACCTCACTCTCTCACACACACCAACAACCAGTGTACATTTCACTACGTTGACACGGCTCTAGATCAACACTTGGATAAACTTGAACCAACATCAATATCACCTGACGTATCTGTTACCTAACACATTCTTTTTGTTTAATATCTCATGCATTATCGATATCTAACTTTAGAATTAGAGCAAAGATAAAGATTAGGTTATCGCTATATCTGTCTTAACCTGTTACGTTACCTCTTACCTTGAACCACACCCAACATAGTGTACAGTTATTCTAGTGTTGATGATGTAATTGTGTTATTTAAAAAGTCTTTGCTTGTCTTAACTTTCTTCCTGATTCCCAAATATAGACAGAGTGTTTGATTGTGTAAGCTATTCGTCATGCATGACTTATTACGTAAACATCGGGGTTTCCCTAAAGAAACTTTGTTTAGCTATCCTTGCCTGTTTACAATAGAATAGGGAATTCCCAGAGGTAATGAAGTGACGCATTAAAATATTTTTACAGAGCGTGTCAAACAGCAAATGTCAAGGTTATTTCTGATTGTTACATTTTCTATAATGTCACCTGTCTGTCAATGTGGTCTGACAAAACTTTTCAGCAGCATGGCAACATGTAAACATAAACATATAAACATAGGTTACCTATTGGATTTCCATTGTTTTAAAGAAGATATAATTAAATTGTCTTCATATAATATCAACCTTTTTTAATGTCAAAATTGTAAACTATTGCTTAAAAAAATTAACCTTGAAAGGAAAAATTAAATCTTTAACTAAAGAAATATTGGAATAGTGTCGTGTTATAGACACGACGCATTTCAACCCGCTATGGAAGGTTTATTTGTATACCTATTGAGTGGTGTTTCCTTTTTAGTCATGAATCGTTCGATCTTCCAACCGATAAAATTTTCCAACCAACTTAACCTTACGTCGGTACTGACGATTATATAAATACAGATTACTTAATAACGTATTGATAAGAAATCAGCCCTATTGATAGATTGGTGATATCAGATTTACAGTTACACAACTTTTTAAGTCGTGATTTTTTAAGTCGTGATTGCTGTTACTTTGTCCATTACCTGCCTATCTGGTAGATCAACATTACTTCCTCTGTTTCTTGTGGTGTGGATAGCATTATCGAACTAGGCTAAAACCAAAACTCAAAACAGTTTTTCGGATTGCTATAGTGAGTTTAGTTTTCAAATTTTAGAATTTTTTGTTAATTAATTGCAAGTTTTCAAAACTAATCAATCTTAGCGGGTAATTTATTTTGTAAATGAACAATTTCGTCAATTACTAGAACGTGTTTCGTCCCACGATTGTTACATGTTTCATTGTTACATCTTTCATAAATCATTTCAAATACTTTAAATGTTGAAATACAATAGTAAATCAATTCAAATACAGTAAATGTTGAAATACAATAGTAAATCATTTCTAATACATTAAATGTTGAAATATAATAGTAAATCATCTCTAATACATTAAATGTTGAAATATAATAGTAAATCATTTCTAATACATTAAATGTTGAAATATAATAGTAAATCATTTCTAATACATTAAATATTGAAATATAATAGTAAATCATTTCTAATACATTAAATGTTGAAATATAATAGTAAATCATTTCTAATACATTAAATGTTGAAATATAATAGTAAATCATTTCTAATACATTAAATGTTGAAATATAATAGTAAAGTATTTTAACAGAAAAAGATATAACTGTGTGTACAATTTAATTTTATTTCAGCGATGTTAAGTTGTCATGGGAGGCTGTCAGTCTGTCAGCTGTAAGTAAAACATGTGATTTCTTTCTGGGGTAAAAAGTAAAACATGTGATTACTTGCTGGGGTAAAAAGTAAAACATGTGATTTCTTTCTGGGGTAAAAAGTAAAACATGTGATTTCTTGCTGGGGTAAAAAGTAAAACATGTGATTACTTGCTGGGGTAAAAAGTAAAACATGTGATTTCTTTCTGGGGTAAAAAGTAAAACATGTGATTTCTTTCTGGGGTAAAAAGTAAAACATGTGATTTCTTTCTGGGGTAAAAAGTAAAACATGTGATTTCTTGCTGGGGTAAAAAGTAAAATATTTGATTTCTTTCTGGGGTAAAAAGTAAAACATGTGATTTCTTTCTGGGGTAAAAAGTAAAACATGTGATTTCTTTCTGGGGTAAAAAGTAAAACATGTGATTTCTTTCTGGGGTAAAAAGTAAAACATGTGATTTCTTTCTGGGGTAAAAATTTAAAACCTGTGATTTCTTTCTGGGGTAAAAAGTAAAACATGTGATTTCTTGCTGGCGTAAAAAGTAAAATCTGTGATTTCTTGCTGGGGTAAAAAGTAAAATATGTGATTTCTTTCTGGGGTAAAAAGTAAAATATTGAATTTCTTTCTGGGGTAAAAAGTAAAACATGTGATTTCTTTCTGGGATAAAAAGTAAAACATGTGATTTCTTTCTTCGGTAAAAAGTAAAATTTGTGATTGTCTACTGCGATATATATACGAACAGTTTTTATTTACTTAAAGGTCTAATTTACTTTAACACTAAGGTCTAAATTCGAACATGTATGTTCATGTTTTGTGTAATCAGATTTCGATTATCAGCTTCGGGTTTGATAACAAATAATCAAATTAATCAAAATTGATTATCCAACAGGTACAGCCTCAATATCAGTTATACCGTTACAGGTGGAATCTCGAGGAAACACACCAAGCTATGACAATGGTAAACATTCACTGTTTTTGTTAGTTATTATACATGGGCAATCTTGGGCCATCAGTTTTTGAACCCGATAAACCAAGAACAAAATCTTATGGTAATGGCGAGTATTTAATAAAAGAATCTTTTTTAGACTTTGCGATCCATTGAGCAGATGAAGTAGAGTTAATATTTGTCTTGACCTCGGTGAATGAAGGGAAGGTGTGGTCAGCACTGTGCCCAGCCGCCTTTACTTCCCTAACAAGACTTAGATACTCACTAGAGCTGGGTAAACTTGGGGAGTTTTTACTTACTTGAACCCGGATTTGAATTTTGGGTTAGCAGCCAAGGGCTTTAACGCCTAGGCTACGCCGTCCCATGTCTGTTTACTAGCTGTTACGTCTTTTGGTAAAGTGTTGTTTAACATTGGACTGTTGCGCATGCGTGGACGGGTAAAGATGGCTGCAATTTGTCTCCTTACATCCGAATTTCGCTTGAGACAGTTATTCTATCTGAGTCTCTTACTTTGTGACGTTCATTCTTCTACACCTTGGTCGCTCTACACTTAGCCTTGCTAGATTTAACGTTTACAACACTTCATTCTATACTATCGCAGATTTAAAGTTTACAACACTTCATTCTATACTATCGCTTTAGAAAAAGTTGACCCGCTTAACTTAACTAAATTCTTTCTTACAGAGAGATGGCCTTCGGGTATTCGCCATGGACAACTACGTCCGGAGGACGAAAGAAGGCTAAAGCGGAACTATTCTTTCATCTTATCAGAGATAGACGCGACACAGTTAACTGACGTCATGTTTGAAAAAGAAATATTCGCCAAGGAGGATATTGAAACCATAAAGTCAAGTGTCACAACGAAAGATCGAAACGAGGCTTTCATGCACAGGTTGTTTAGCAGCGGACCCGGGGAGTCGTTTCAAATCTTCATGGACATTCTCCAAGAACGTTACCCTCACGTTAGTGATAGAATCAAGTCAAGCTGAGCGCAGATAATCGCGTAACTGGGGGATGTGTAATGGGTGTCCAGACCCCCGGAAGGCTACTTAAATTAATATAAAAAGGATGTGAGATGAAGAAACAGCTTCGGGCGCAATTAAATATACGGCTACTCCAGTTAGATCATTAATGCTGAGAGTAAAACTTAAATTAAGGACTTTTTTTTTAAAACCATTGGGATATTTTTACGTTCTTTCTTATTTATTTTGGGTATTTGTTACCAGTGTTTCTTCCAGACTTTTTTCTCCGGGGCGGGGGGGGGGCACTTGAAATTTTCGCAGAGGGGGGGCGGTAGACTTTCTTCGGGGGGGGGGGGGGGGCGGACACTGTTAAAAGTATATATTTTCTATTTAAATTATATAAATTTTATTTCGTTCGTGGGGGGGGGGTAAAAAATTTTCTAGAAGAAACTCTGTTACCAAAACAAAATTTGAAAATATGTGTGTATTATTTAACACCCTTTTGCACCTAGTATTTAATAAATTTTTATTTATTGTTTACATTAAGTAAACCACATTGAACGCAGGTAAACAAAAAAGGTAATAGGTTTTATGTTTGAACAATGTTAAGATACTACAGGACATTGTTTATCGCCATTAGGCAGCCAATGTAAGATCCAACCCAAAAAAACCTTCATATAGACATATAATTGTATTCTCTGAAACTTTTAATTTAATATTATCGTATGCAATGTATTTTTATAATCATGAGCTTAATCGTATGTTTTTAAAATTAATAATATTTTATGATGTGTAAGCTAGAAAGTATAATTGAGCTACTGTTATTTTTCTTTGTAATTATATTTTAAGATGTGTCAACTAGAAAGGATAATTGTTATTTTTTTGTTCTTGTAATTATATTTTAAGATGTGTCAACTAGAAAGTATAATTGAGCTACTGTTATATTTTTCTTGTAATAAACATTCCTAATGTATACAAATTCTAACAATTAAGAGTGAGTCACACAAAATATCATAGCGACGACAAGAATGTCATAGAGTGCACAGGGCCCAAATAAAGCTAAGAACTTTTGACAAGGGAGATGATTAACTTGTTCACGTTTTTCAATAAATTCTGTATCAAGGAGCGTGAGATAATCATATTGTTGTCAAGTTTAACAAAACAGCTGAAATTTGGCGCTGTACTCACAGCTTGATCTCTAGACCTGTGTTATAAACAAGAAACGGGATGTGTTCTTTCTGGAACTGAAAGTTCCCTTTTCAGATCTAACGATATATAAGGCTGATAGAGTTCACACGTTTATTGACCTCACCATATAAAGGGATGGTGTGGTCAGCACTATGTCCTGCCCAGGTACCATATAAAGGGATGGTGTGGTCAGCACTATGTCCTGCCCAGGTACCATATAAAGGGATGGTGTGGTCAGCACTATGTCCTGCCCAGGTACCATATAAATGGATGGTGTGGTCAGCACTGTCTTGCCCAGGTACCATATAAAGGGATGGTGTGGTCAGCACTATGTCCTGCCCAGGTACCATATAAATGGATGGTGTGGTCAGCACTATGTCTTGCCCAGGTACCATATAAAGGGATGGTGTGGTCAGCACTATGTCCTGCCCAGGTACCATATAAAGGGATGGTGTGGTCAGCACTATGTCTTGCCCAGGTACCATATAAAGGGATGGTGTGGTCAGCACTATGTCCTGCCCAGGTACCATATAAATGGATGGTGTGGTCAGCACTATGTCTTGCCCAGGTACCATATAAAGGGATGGTGTGGTCAGCACTATGTCCTGCCCAGGTACCATATAAAAGGGATGGTGTGGTCAGCACTATGTCCTGCCCAGGTACCATATAAAGGGATGGTGTGGTCAGCACTATGTCCTGTCGTCTTACCCTTAATTGAACCAGGTACCCACCAGAGTTCTGACTGACGTCTCTGAGTCCGAACCGAGATCCAAACTTTCGGGCTAGCAGTCGAGTGCTCTGCCACTAAATCACGCCGTTCCTTTATGGCACTAAACTTAACCAAAGTATCACTTTAAAAAAATAAACGTCTTGTAGTATGGAATAAAATAACGGATAAAACGTAACTATTAACAAATCACTAGTAGGGACCATAACTCTATGAATAATTGACTCCTTATATTTTTATAAGAAAAAAAAATGTGCATTTCTAAATTGTTTCAATGAAAATAAAAATCATTTTTTAACTGTTCGAATAAAATAGAGCTTTGCAACATTTAATAAACCCACGTTTTATGCGTTAAAAATAGGTGTGACAATAAACGGAAAAACACAGACCAGATTTTTATCAATATAACAATAACAAGTTAAATAAAAGTATTCAAAAGTCCCTACAACTGATACACTGATACAATATTCAATACAATTGAAAACAGTGATTAAAACGGATCTATTTTAAAAGGAAACAATTGCAAACAGAAAATGGACAGTGAGTATCAGCGTGATGGAAAAATTATGGATATGATAGATGAGAAATGGCGTGCTGACCAGTTGCCCAAGGAGGATATTCAGGTACCTATAACAGCTCGACCAGAACCTGAACAAGACAATGGTCCGAGCAATGAAAGTCTACATGAACAAGAACAGAAATGGCTGGATCTTGCTCTTTCATCACTCAACCGTATGCCACCAACATCAACACAGAGTTGACAAAACATGCGTTATATTGACAATAGATTGTAAATACATGTATATATTATTTAACTATATATATAAAACTACTTAAAAAAACAAAAACGGATCTATTTTTAACATAATGTTAAGTTTTTTTTTTTTACTAAATATTTTAAAAGTACACAAGGCTAACACATACAAAGAGTCGACATTTCTAAGACCGACACACTTAGCATAAGCATTTTTTTTTTCAACACAAATAAACTTGTTCCCCACAAAAATTGTGGATGTTGTCTGAACCACTGTGCGGATGAAAGATTGGCCGCCATTTTGTTCCTAGAATTAAAACCGGTGCACCGCTTGATCCTGGGCAAGTGGCTGTGTCATAGCTGTACCTCGTGTCAAGTTCATCTTGGAGTGTGTCCACCCACTGTCCCACGCTGACGTGTTTGGTGTGTCCGTGCGGGTGCGACACAATCACAACAATCTTCTCCGCCTCGTTGGAAGCTGGTTGCTCCTTAAGATAAAAAAAAATTTTGAAGTAATCTCCCCACAGTTTTTCTAATTTACGGATCAGATCTGGGTTATGAGTCGCGCAATATAAAATACACTCGTCTCTTTTCGGTGAAGAAAAGGAAACATCAAAACCGTCCAAAGTTTCCGGTTGTGAGATTTCAGTGTCGTGAAATAAAACAAAGATGGCGTCCTGACACTCTGTTTTGTCAAAGACGACATGGGGTGCAGAAATGACTTGAATCGTTGCCCAGTCATTCTTCGGCGAGCCAGACACCCTGCACTCCTTACACGGACAACACCCGTGTTCGTCTGTCTGTCCGGGAGTCACGTGTTTCACCTCCCAAACCATGCCACTTCCTGTTCTAAAAATATCTTGACCTTTCCTATTACCATACGGATATGGCGCCTCCCTGTGTGGGTGTGTTTTGGGTCTGTCCGTGCTAATTTTATTGACCTTGATGCACACGGTCAACCTGGAAAAAGACCGGATGAACGGGTACACGTCTTTTCTGTACATTTCCGGCAAATATTCCGGACTGAAGTCGTTGACCGGAATAAACTTCAGATGGCCGTTGTGTTTCTTGCATCTGTTCCAACGTTCAGTGCTGCTATCAAACTCCAATACTTCGCTTTCTCCTGCTTCAACTGTGGAATAAGGGATCAAATGGTGTTAAATAAATAGGTTCAAGTTTGTCATTACAGTTTCATCATCTTACATCTAGAAGGTGTATGGTTCGGCTCAGCATAAAATTTACTAATCTCTGCGAAAATTACCGTAGCTTATTATTCTACTCATCCCCCCCTCCCCCCTCAAATTGTTTGGTACCACTCAAACAATTGGTTGATAATTTTAGCTTTCTAATTTAAAACCTGTTTTAATCATATTAACATTGCATAGGCAACAAGCTATAGCATTGTAATTTCTTCTAGCACATAGCTTTGCTACTTTTTAATATTCATTCGGAAAAACCATTTATCTGTATTATAATTATTAAATCATGCAGTAAATTATTGTCACCATAAAAAGATTGTAGTTTCCTTTATTTACATCACGCCACGCTACAATAAACACGTGAAATCAAAGCCTTCGCTAGACTAAGCTTGGAAAGATTTAAAATAACGCTGATAGTAAACCCTTATTAAAAAGTACGTTGATTGTGTTTTGTTACAAGAACCCATCAAAATCTCCAAATTTCTCATCCCACCCAATCAATCCTAACCTAACCCATGAATATCAACTTCAGCTGAATCAACCTACGTCACCTGGTAACATGTGATAAAGCAGAATGTTTTTTTTTTATTTTTTAGGAAGCGCAATTAAAAGACTTACAAAGCTCCATAGTTCAAACAGTAGTTTTGTTAGTATTTGAAGGAAAATATTTTAACATTACTACGTAAATGGTTTTAGACTTTTATACCATTCTCGCGTGGCTGCATAGCCAATGGTAACTATAGATCTAGTACTACAAAAATAAAACCAGAATAGCTCACAAAAAAATTACCACGTTCCCGAAAGCAACAACAATAAACAGACTTGGAAAATCTACCGCAGTGAAAGCAGTGAACTGTAACCGAAAAGCTTTTTTCTAATTTTAGCATCCTGACCTAAATTATATAATATTACATCTCTCTCTTCAGCCCAGTAACGATTTGATCGACCAATAAATAACTTATCGCGCAGTGTTTAGTGGTCTCATGCGCCACCGCCGTGAAACTGAAACCTACAGTTTATCTCACGGGATACCCTATTGATGAGACTGAAACAAACCTACAGCTATCTCACTGCATTTTGATGAGACTATGACGATTAGATTTTATTATATTTTATAGCCGTATTTTCCAGCTTTAAATTTTAATTTGTACTAAAAATATATCAATATAAGAACACAAGGTTTATCAAACTCAGCAGATGATTTAAGGGAGACTAGTGTTTTAAATACAAACATTACAATTTTTAGAGGAAGGTAAGTGGGGGAGGGGGGTGGTTGTCCGTGAAGTCACATTTTAGAAAAAAAAAGGGGGGGGAGGATGTGGTGTGTCTTTTTGTGACATTGTGTGACGCTACAGAAAGGGGAGGTAAACTCGTTTATAAATATTATAATGCGTGACGTCGATATTATGACAAAGTAGGCCTACGAACAGGTTAGTGTTGAATTAAAGCACACCTGCGTGTGGACACTACCGATTCAATTAGCACTTGTCACCAGTGTTTATTCCAGCCTTTTTTTTTTCTCCGGGGGTGGGGGCGCTTTCCCAGTGGCGATTTGTCAATGTGTAGTGTGTGAAAACTGGTGTAGTTCAACCATTTCATGTTTATATTATGGCAATGTAAGAAATAACCAATTTGACTACCGTGTCGTAACCGGAAACCAAGAACAAGGTGCCAATATGCTAAGATTTTCATTCAGAAGCACGAAATTAATTCCCACCAGCGGAAGTTACAAAGAATTTACAAATCCGTGTACCAGATGATGTAGGTTGTTTAATTCAGACTAGTCATGAAAGTAGAGTTTTCTACAAACTAAAAACAGAACATTGTACTATCAATTGAGATAACTGTCATACAACTCTTAACAGACCATTTAATTCTCTGCTGTTGTGACTTTATACAAGTCTGGTATGTATTACTTGAGTGCACACTTCAGTTTAAATCTTTCCTTTATGAAGAGATTAATACCAATAAGCCAATCCAAGATATGGCATGCATGTATGAAAGAATGTACATCAAGATGGTGATGCCATTTACTGAATTGCTGTGGGTACTTCACTTTTAGCACTGCCATGTTTATTTCGATACATTTTATGTTTGAAAAGTTCTGGTTATGGAGAAGTCAAAATACAACGCTACATGAAGTTAGTTCCAGTTCATACTTGCAAGTTTCTCATTTTGTTTCATATGAACGTAGTTAAAATTATGAATTACTCTAATAGAGAGGGTGAGGCATTTGATTTAAGCCGCACTCTCAAATGGCTTTTGAAAGGCAGTTTTAAAATCCTGACACTGACAGTCATAATTACCTGTTACATCTGTGCCAACATTAACCCTAACCTGTTCATGATTTCACTTTTAGTTTTAAGTATTCGCTTCAGGCAATTTGATTTAATAGCTGTGTAGCATACATTGCACTTGTTCTAGGCACTTACAGCATGGAAAAAAAAATTAATGTAAACTCTGCAACAGTAGGAGTATACAAGACCTAACACTAACAGCAATAAAAAATGCAAATTCTAAATTTAAGAACTGAGTTTAATAAGTTTTTTATACAGAATAAAATATGCACAAACAATGAATTTTGGAGTAGTTAACAGTGGAAAATCAGAAGTGAAGTAGTTGAAATTAACTCATTCTGAACTGCCGGTCAAGGGAACAACTTGGGATGAATCTTTTGGCAGGTGAATGGTGATCTGGAAGTTAGATGTTTAACAGTTTAAATACATGTTGAATTATCCTGGGTGGTTGAACTATCACCAAAAATCTAGTACATGAAATTCTATAAATTTAACTAAGGGAGCATGAATTTTTTTTATTCAAATATTCAAACTGTTAAGAAAATACATGCTAAGTATTATTAAAATAAATAGTTCAATGATTGGTACAGATTGAGTGGGCATTATCTTCAATTTAAAACACTGTTACCTGCAACAGATCCAGGATTATGTCACTTATCCAGGGTTTTCTTCTTGGTTCCTGATCCTTTTCACAGGTGATACAAGGTAACATCTTGTAAGGTAGGACTAATCCATTGTCAGGTAGTGCTGATCATCAGGTAGGATTAATTCATCATCCAGTGGGACTAATCCATCTATCACTTTGAACATTTCATACAAGTTCTTGGTTTGTTGGCTGCCTTAGCACTGTAAATCATAGATAAGGATGTAAAACAGCGGGCTCAATTTGTTTAGTATGGAACATAAAATGGAACATAAAATATGTAAGCTTAATCAATGTATTAAATTATTTACTATAAGAATATTCAAGAAATCTTTTACAGCTTCTATACCTTCACTCCTAATAGAACCCAGATAGCAGAAAATTACTTACAGTTGGCCGCAAACATTATGAAGTTAATTGTTAAGTAGCTGCACAACCTATTACCAACTTGGAACTTGTTTTCATTTATGAAATACTCACATTGTAACTTGGCATACACCAATTCAAACTAAAATAGATGCAATCAAAATTAGTATAATTTCATATAAACATGGGTCCCATTTCAAAGGATTCCTACTTAGCCATCTTTTCCATGGGTGCCATTACAGTTTCAGCTTTAGAACCCTAAAAATATTAAAATACAGTAGAATACATTATATATACTTATAAAACAGTTTACAATTAATAATTTAGTATTAGGTCTCTATTTTAACTTGTTTTTGCTGTTTTAGTATTCAATTAACTTGATTTGTTATTAGTCCCTATCAGCATTGCCATTTGATTTTTAATTTATTAGCACTAGGCCTATTACAATTAGATCACCATATTTAAAATTAAGCAGCTTATTTAGGCTTTAAATTTTTAAACCATGGAATCCAGTTTTGCATGTCTACTTGAAAGTGTTACCAAGTCAGTTGTAGGCTAGATTAGAATAGGCTAGAATAGTTTAGAATGTAGAGGAGAGGTGCGGTGAGTTGAGTTAACCTGGAGGTGTTTAGGTATGGTTGTCCCAAGGTCAAGTGCGGGTATAAAAGCTGGAGTGTAAGGGGTTAGTTGGTAGCGGCTTGGGTCGAGGGCTTGTGGTGTAAGGATAAAGATGACTAGCTAAATAAAGCTTTGAACAGTAGCTTGAAACGTGTTTGTTGAACGAAAGGTTGATTGTAAAAAAAAATAATTAAGAAAATCACATCCTCTTTAAGATGGATGTTACTCTCCAGGTTTACAATTCAAGTAGCACTCCTGTAATACAAATTAGCAGGTATTTGGCAGTGAAGAGATGGTTGGTCAATAAGCATTACTAGCCAAGTGTAAAAAGTTCAAATAGTTGATGACTGAGATTAAGCAACTTAGAAGAACAGGGTCTTGTGACTGGAACCCATGGCTTAGATAAAGCATGGAGGCTTGTTGAGGAAGTGTCACTGCTGGTCATACAGCAGATGAGTATTTTTCAAAGTGAAGGTTTAGCTACTGTGGTAGTCTATCAACGCCTAAAGAGGAGAGTGACCTACTGTTTGTTGAGGTGTTGTCTATGTAAGAAAAAGTGTACCTGCATGGTTGAAAACATGTTGAAAATTGTGATGACAGGTTAAGTTATAAATAGGTCAAACTAAGGAGAAAATGTAGAACTTAGGAAATAGCCTTAGGTCAAGCAGTTGAGAATAGGTAGGCACCAATGACATGCGAGATGACCGGTCATATCATACACATCAAGGACAAGGGATTACTGCTTGGACTTTGACAAATAGTTTAAGATATCAGCTATCTTTTTTTTATCTCTTTTTACAGGGCTTGATTTCTTGTAGTTGCAGCTTGTGAAGGGACAGAATGTTCCCTCAGCCGGTGACTTCAATGCGGGCTCGCCCACATGGGGATACCTGAAGATGAATAGGGAGGAGCAGGGGGTTCAAAACTACATTTTCATGCCCTCTTTTCTTAGGATGGACAATGGTCAAACCTCCCAGCCTGACTTAACTATGTTCATACTTTAACTGCTTGAAGTCTTTTATAATCAAGGTTCAAGTGATATTGGCAGTGACCATGTGCCTCAACCACCTTGTTACTGGACTGTCTGCGGGTTGTTAGAGTGCATCGCCGGCCTGATTATTAGAACACAGGTCATGTCTGAGAGAGGCAAGATAAAAGATGGTCTCAGCAAGACATGCTCTTGTGGAATGACCTGGGAAAATGCTTAACTTTACAAGACTGCACATTGCCTGGCCCCAGAAAATTATATAGGATGCTTGAGATCAGCTGCAGCATAGAAAACTAGATAGGCCTTAATATAGACTGAATGCTGGCTAAGAATACAGCACAACACTAGATAGGCCTTAATATAGACTGAATGCTGGCTAAGAATACAGCACAATGTAGAAAAGTGTAATAGATGAAATAGACAAGTGAAACAGTGATGGAATATATTGCTGGAAAACAACCTGTCAGAATTATAGGAACTGTTTAGGATGTCAGGATTCCCACATTTTGTTTACATTTTACAAAAAACTGGTGGAAAAAAAAAATATGGACAAGCTTACATATGCTTATGGACTGAAATGTAAAACAGGACAAATTTTTGTTTGACAGAGGATGGTGCACATTCAGTCTTTACCCATTCTTGTCCTACCCCTTCTTGCATACCTGTGCGAACTTTTAAAACAGCATTCTAGTCATGATAGAATTCTTGTTAGATAAATATAACCAATGCAATAGTATGAAACTGGGTGTACAATTTTTCTATAACAGTTCATGAGAAAGTATGTTGCACACAATGAAGTTGTATAATAAACAAACAATGAATATGTTCCTTTTAAATTTTTCTGGTATTCAGCATTGTAAGACAAGGTATAATTGACACATTGCAGTACAACTTTTATCTGAGAGGCATCAGAAGAATGTATGTTGTACTCTAACAATGACCAGAGCTGCAAAAATTATAAACATACAATGTATCCAATTCTTGACTGGACAATATGGTGAATATAAACATTGGTTTATATGCAAATGCAAAATCAAGGGGGATTAGCTAGTATTAAATACTATGTTGGGTAAAATTGGTAAAAAACTGCACCATCATCTGTCACTTTTTGGTTTTCAAAATGGGTCTTTATGTATATTTGCTTTTTTTTTTTTATTTAAACAAAAAATGTAAGCTTGGCATATTTCTGTTTAGGTATTTTTTTTTTTTTAAATTTATTTTCATCCATCAAGTGAACCGATATTACTGAAGGGAGTTCAGTGGCAAAATACTAGCTATTCAATCTAAAAATTAAAGATCTTCACAAATAATGCAAATTAATATGCCTTTCCCATCCCACAGGGTATTTGCTTTGATTTAGAAATTACATTGAAGAAACCAAGTCACAAGCATACAAAGCCTGAATGACCATCAGACAATACAGCAAAGACCCAGCAAAGGACAGGACCTCTACTGCAGAACATGGATAAAGCCAATCGAGAAAATGGTCTCTGTGCCCAGAAAAGAGCATTTGGGAAAAGGAAGTGCTATAGAAGGGAAAAAAATTGTGTTGTTCCAAACAGAAGAAAAGGTTGTGTTGCGAGTTGTATTTGAGTGTTGCTCCTAGGTCGATTGTCAACGCTAATTGTTGAAAGTCATACGACAGCTAAGAAGATGGTTTCATTCATCTCAGTGTGAAACTCTTCAATGAAAATCCATCACTGGTGACCATACTAATGATATTGTGGGAACTTGGAGCAATCAAACTCTGCCTTCACAGACATTCCTGTCATGGCCAGTTCAATTCGTACTTGTATGAGTACATGTGGTTGAGCCAGCATAAAAATGAAACCGATTTATCCAACAGAATTTGTTTTAATTATGTTCCATTTTTAGACTGTTTATAGTAATTAAATGAGACCCAGCGAGTCCTCAAGCAATCTGATGCTTGTTCTATACACCACTGAGGTTTTAAAGGTGAGCTGAAGGTTTGTTGTTCAACAGTTATTGTTCTAAGTGTGGTAGTGATGTGTATGGACAAGCTGACGTGGACTTTGGACTGACACACCTGGAGATGTCAGATAACAGGAGACAACACATTGTAGTGAGGTCTTTAAGGAAGGGGACTTGGTTTGAGGGAAATAAGATGACACTTAGATCCATTTTAATTTTTACGTTTATGTGGGTTAGTAAAATGCCAGCTAGTGCAATTAGGAAACTTAGTGCAAGCTCTGTAACAGTGACTGACTGGATGAGTTTTTGCAGGGAACTTTTGAAAGGTCCTGGGAAAATAAGTAAATAAGTAAAATAAGTAAATTTGGCAAGCACAAATACCATAGAGGGAGACAGGTGGTAGGCTTTTGGGTGTTTGGTGGGAGAGGAACAGATTAATGGGTTTTTTGTATTGTGCTGCCTAACAAAAGTAAAGATGTGTTGCCACAGATTATTCCAGAGTTGATTGTGATGAGTGACTGTTGGAAGTTGTATGAATGTTTATCTGATGAGGGTGTTATCCACCTTACGGTGAATCACACATATAATTTTATATGAATTTTTTTTTTGAAGAGGGTTTTATCCACCTTACGGTGAATCACACATACAATTTTACATGAATGTTAATCTGATGAGGGTTTCATCCACCTTACGGTGAACCACACATACAATTTCAAAGACCCTGAGACTGGGAGCCGATGAGTGTTGAGGGCATGTGGTCCTCTGTCGAAAGAGAACCGCCAACATAAGGCTCTCCTGGACAGTTGGCTAACTATTTAGCTAAATATACTTGGTGGCAGAAACATAAGCATGCTCTGAATCTTTTAGTAGCATTTTTTAAATGCAATCTAGCATGTTTATAAGCCCTAATTAACACCCATATTACAAATATTGGCAGAACTTTTAGTAATGCATTTAATGTTGGAATGGGTGGGTTGGAGATGGACTATTTCTGTAATAAGCTTTTAATGGTGTATTAAATTTGTTCATTTTAATGAAGTGGATTGCAATATTAAACCAGTTAAACATTTTAAATCCATAAAATTATTAAACAAAGATCGGGTTGTAATGATTGGAGCAGAAATATGGCATATATTACTTTTTTTTATCAAGCACTAATATTTAAATTGATATTGAATAGTTTTGAAATTTTTAAAATATTTTCCAGGAGAGGAAACTGCAAGCAGTATGAAAGTTAAGCACAAAGCAAAAGAGGTCGACTCCAGGAGACAACACATGGTAGTGACGTCTTTAAGGAAGGGGACTTGGTTTGAGGGAGATAAGATGACACTTAGATCCATTTTAATTTTGATGTTTTATGTGGGTTAGTTGCCAGCTAGTGCAATTATTAGGAAACTTAGTGAAAGCTCAGTAACGGTGACTGACTGGATGAGTTTTAGCAGGGAATTTTTGGGAGGTCCTCGGAAAATAAGTAAATTTGGCAAGCACAAATACAATAGAGGGTGGCAGGTGGTAGGCTTTTTTTTGTATTGTGCCTAACAGAAGTAAAGATGTGTTGCCACAAATTATTCAAGAGTTTATTGTGATGAGTGACTGTTGGAAGTCGTATGAATGTTTATCTGATGAGGGTGTTATCCACCTTACGGTGAACCACATACAATTTTAAAGACCCTGAGACTGGGACCTGTGCGAGCAGTATGAAAGAGGTCAAAGAGGTCAA